GAAACTGAATCTGTCAGTTGTCTACCATAAAGATTTTCTTAAAGCTCAAATTATTTCAATTCAAGATCTGAAGAAATTTCAGAATATTGATACATCATTATAAAATAACATAGAATCATAGAGTTGGAAGAGAACTCGTGGGCCATCCAGTCCAACCCCCTGCCAAGAAGAAGGAAAATCGCATTCAAAGCACTCCCAACAGATGGCCATCCAGCCTCTCTTTAAAAGCCTCCAAAGAAGGAGCCTCCACCACACTCTGGGGCAGAGAGTTCCACTGCTGAACAGCTCTCACAGTCAGGAAGTTCTTCCTAATATTCAGGTGGAATCTCCTTTCTTGTACAGGGTGCAGCAGCATAACTTCCTTTTTTCAAAACTTAATAAAACCCATTGTATGAATCAGAATTTTTTTTTAAATAATGTAGGCGCATACCTAATGTTTTGTTTTACGTAGTTTTGAAGATTAAATTAGATAGGTGATGCCCCCCATTCTCTATACACTGAGTAAACCGATTTCTGGCATTTGTCATGACTCTTGCCAGCATAGCAGGCATTATGTTGGCAATTTCTTCCTAGATGTTGGTCTTCAAATCTTGTATGGGGTTTTTTGAAATCTTGTGTTTATGTGAACCATCCAAGGACCCTACAAGCTTTGAAGACCAACATCCAGGAAGAAATTGCCAACATAACCCCTGCTATGCTGGCAAACGCCAGAAATTGGTCATGACAAACGCCAGAAATTGGTATAATTCAAGAGAGCTCTTCTTAGGTTCCAATAGTTGATAGCTGTACAAGTGATGAGAAACATCAAAATAAGCTTAGTAAGTATTCTTGCCAAAGGGCTCCAAATTTCTTGATGCGGATATGGTTGACTTTCAAAACAAAAAAGACAAGCACTGGAAATGATTCCAAAACCATTTGGCAATATAAACATATCTTATTTCCAAGAAATAAACAGAGCTTGTACATTTTGATTTTGTGGAGCTAGAAAAAAGCCATTTCCAGTACTCTTTGGCTCAGAAATTCTGGAGGTTGTGAATTAAGAAAGTATCTTTTCCAAAATCTGTGAATAAATTTGTGAGTGGAAAAACTAGAAGAAAGAGCACTGGGATTGAAGCTGCCATTGTGGGTTTGCCTTGAAATGGGCATTTGGCTCTGGGTGCCAGAGTAGTTGTTGCCTGGCAGTTTGCCTCAAGTGTAACATGTTGAAATAAATAGGCAGAAAAATTGGTTCTTTATTGGATCTGTCAAATTGTGTTAAACCTATCTGTGAACTTCTGAGCTGACTGAAATTAAATAGCCAATATTAGTATTGGGACTATGTTTAATTAGTACAGTCACAGGTTGCAAGTATGGTTGCCAAGGCTCACTTTACCCTCCCCCAGTGTTTGAAGAGTCAACTGATTTCCTATTCACTACAGATTCCATGGACAAAAGGCGCTCAAATTAATCACTTTCTGCTTTGTGTCAAAGGCACTGTGCGTTGCCATTGATTCAGTAGATTTGAAAAGGTTGTCTGTTATTGAGTATGTCAGTACAGTCAATGTTCCACACTTATGGGTTTAACTTTTGCAGGTTGGATTATTCATAGATTTGATTAATATGCTCCGTCTAGGAATTTCTAGATCCTCCAGTAAAACTTTATGTTCAACTTTTTCTGGAGGTTGATCACAGAGTCACATTAGAGGACCTAGAAATTCCAAGAGATGTATTCCCTCAAATTAGAAAAAAAAAAAAAATTTCTTAATTTGCATTTTCCCTATCTTTGTGGGGATCATAAGCCCCCAAGCCCCAGAGAATACAGAGAGCTGACTGTATTAGAAATAATCAGCCTAATAAAACTGGTCTACCCTTTTGCCTCTGTAACATAGTACAAAGATTAGCCTCTGTGTCTAGTCATTTGGATAATTATTTTGTATATTTTCTCTCCTTTTTGACTTCATCTTCCTATGTCCTCTTCCCCCTTCCTCTCTCAGCAGAACAAATAGAACTCAGCTTTCCTTAAGCCCAAAAATTTATAATCTCCTAGAGCCCAAATCCAGCCCAGGCTTTTCTGACCAGTTTCCACAGATGCCCCAATTTGAGTGGCATTTCTCAAAGCCTCACAGCCTCCATGGTTGAGATAAGTTAGCTCTTTAATTTAATTTCCCCATGTAGAGCAAAACTTGATATCTACATTATAGAATTAATGCAGTTTGACATCACTTTAAATGCCATGGCTCGATGAATTTTGGGATTTGTTGTTTGGCAAGGCATCAGCACTCTTTGGCAGAGGAAGCTAAATGCTTTGTGAAATTACAGCTCTCAAGACTCCATAGCCTCTTTCTAAGAAAGCAATGGATTGTTTGCATTTATGTTCGAATCAATTCCCTTTTAGAAGCCCTGTTCCAGGGATAGGCAATTGTGCTGCTCCAATATTATTGGATTGTAGATTTCATAATTCCTCATCATTTGCTAGCTGGCTAGGGTTGATGGAGAGTTGTAAGCCAAAAACATATAGAGAACCACACTACTCCTCCCTTTTTCTGTATAGTGCTAATACTTGATAATCACAAGTGTAATTATTGTAAATATTTTTTAATTTTTGTGTGTATACAATATCCTGAGAAATTGTTTCTTATTCATGTGAGTTACAAGGACTGTTCTACTCTCTGTACCTAGTTTCTAAGATTGTTTTAAGGAACAGTTCAAGAGTATGCATCAAATCTTTAGATTCTGAGAATTTTTTAATGAGATCTGCACCTTGTCTTACCTGAGTTGCTTGCCCAAATTACATGTAATTGGTTTCGACCTGTGATTCCTACCCTTTGGTCCCCCAAATGTTTTGGGCTTCAGCTCCCAGAATTCCTGACAATTGATTGACTTGATTGGAGCTTCTGCGAATTGAAGTCTCAAACACCTGGAGTACCAAAGATTAGGAACCACTAGATGAGCAAAATATTTGGTCCTGTTCCCTTTGCCATTGTCTCATTAGCTAATATGGATTTCCTGGCACAGGACAATACCTCCCCCTGCTTTGTATAGATCCTCTTTGCTAATGATACTAACTGTGGTGAATGGGATAGACCAACGATTCCAATTTGAATAATTACTCTCTTAGATTTATCCTGGACTCCATTAGTCCGCTAATTGTCCAGTGCTGGAATTCCTCTTATAGTACATAATAATAATGTATTGTCCATCCTACCTTGTTTGTTTTCATAGTGCTCTTGTGTGCTGGGCCATTACTGCATTCCTATTTTACAGGCAGTTAAAAAAATACTAATCTTCTCACTGCCATCTAGTGGGTCCATGTCTAACAACTCAAGGGTCTCAAAGCACTCCTCTCTGTTTAATGATCCCATGTGATGTTTCCATTGGGCATAAGGGCAAATTACATTCTGTTGTATAGAGTTTGCACTTTCCCTATGATTTCACAATCATAAGAATGATAATCACACCCTGAAACAAGCATACAAACATTGAATGTGATAAGAAGCTTTTACGTTATTCAACACTTAAAGCAATGTAAGAATTAGAGATGATTGAATTGTTAGGGCTGTGTTGTAAGTTGTTGTGAGTTTATAAGTCATTTCCAACTTATGGTGAGCCCGTCATGGGATTTTCTTGCAAAGAGTTTTTTCTTTCCAAATTTTTATTCAGAAATAGGAAAAAACATAGTAAAAATAATTCAAAAATCAGATTTTATAATACTGTATGTATTGTTAAAATGATGCAACTATTTAATAACACAACATACTACAAAACTAAATCAAAAGCAAATACATGAACCAAACATATTACATTGACATGCATGCACTAACTTACACACAAACAGAGATGATTCTGCAAACCTCATACTCATGATGTATTGATCACTACTGCTTATTATTCTGTTCCCTTAGATAGTACTATATAACCACACTTTTACTTTTAAGAACATTCATCTACTTTATAAATCCTGCAATTGACATTTGCCCTTTACATTGTTGTGAAAAAAGTAATAAACAAGCCCCAATATTTCTTGAAGTTCATCAAAGATTTATCCTTACTCACCAAGAGTCCCCGGTGGCACAGTGGGCTAAACCCTTCTGCCGGTAGGACTGAAGACTGACAGGTCGGAGGTTCGAATCCAGGGAGAACATGGTTGAGCTCTTTCCCATTCTTTCTTTCCAGTGGTTCAACTACTTTTTTCATATTGCTTATATTTAATTCTGTGTTAATGTTTGTATATTTGAACTTGTGTTAATGTTTTTATGTTAAGTCGCTTTGAGTCTTAAAAGAGGGTATAAATATAATAATAATTTCTTGAATGTTGAAAGTCTAGAACCTCAGACAGTATTTTTGCCAACCTTGTGCTATTTTTTGAAATGATGTTTCTGCAAATTGGCAGCTGCTCTATCTAGTCTATCCTTTGCTACACTTGTGTGTGCGTGCGTGTTTTAGGCCAAGATCTGACTACTTTCTCCCACTATTCCATTCACCCTCTTTCTCTTTTCCTTCCAACCATCTCGGACCTAAAAATTGCATAGCTCCGTCTTAGATTGATTCTGGAAACTTAAGTCAGGATAGTTATGGTCTATCCACGATGTGTCATCATGTTTGATGTGTTAGAACCTTCTCAGCATTTGCATGTATATTACTCCATGAAGCAACTGTATGTTATTATAGTCATTTGTTTGATATTTACTGCTTGTTACTTTCAAAGCTTTACCATGGTGCTTTACTGTTCCCCAGTGCCATAATTGTGCATGCATCAATTCTTGTATGTTCAATAAAATAAAACAGCTCTATGTGTGGGTTACTGGAACAAATCTTCTCAAATATACAGCTTCCATAAGAGACTTATTAAGTAACTCCCAGAACATGAATGGGTTCGTATATATGTGAGACCACTCTTGTGTAACACAGAGCACAATAAGTCAGGTCACAAACACCACAGCAAAGTGTATACACAAGCCACTTGCTGACTTACTGCCATAGTGTAAAATATTTAAAATTCCGCAGAAAGAAAGACAAAGTGCTCATTGAAAAGATATTTATTAATGATGTGATATACAGTGCCATTTGAACTATGAAATACTGCCACAGTCCTGCAATGTTTTGCTTGTTTGTTTGCTATATTTACTGCCTGTTATATTTGCTCCTTAGAGTATTGCTGCCCGGGAACAATGCATCCTATTTTTATCAAAAGATAGATGCCAATACCTGACAGACTTAACATGGGGCTGCTGGATTGCTTGGACTTGCCAGACTGGTGTTTTGATGGAGTTGTGATGTCATGTTGCAGCGAGAACAAGACAATTGATGACAAGGAAGTATTGTCGGTTCTCTCTCTCATGCACACTCACACACTTGTTGCTTCAAAAGAAAAGAAAGTAGCATTGTTCTGTGTTGAGATGAAGGCATGCGGTGATGGGCTGTGCTCTCCTTTTGGTCCTCACTACTGCGGCAATATGTGTGAGTCCACCATTGTGCCTTCTAGGCTGAGGAAAGACACAGCCAAAATACAAGGAAATCATTGATTTAGCTCCTCTCCTTGTCTTATACTTGGTTTTAAGGATTATATATGACGTCATGGCTTTCCATTGTCTAGTTTCATGACTATTAATTTGTACCTACTATATGGATAGTTCTTTTATGGTTTTCTGAAGTGGAAATAAACTAGACAATGAGGTCCAGTAGAAGAGCGCCCATGTTGCACGGATACATTCTGAGGTCCGCTTATCAGCAGCTCAACATGGTAACAGGTTTCTGACCGCTGCTTGGAGACCCCACCATGACACAGTGGAGTAGAGCAACTGCCAAGCAAATGAAGTAATATTGGGCTAAGAGCTGGGAAAAGTTGTCTTGGTCTTGACTAAAGTGCCTCCACTTTCTAAGAACTTGTAAGACAATGTGTCTCTTACCTGGAGCATTCAACATATTTGTGAAACTTCACTTTCCAAGGAGCCAAATGAAGACAAAACAAGGTGTATTTAAGCCAGATACAAATTGTGCATGTAAATAAACAAAGCACTCAACATTTAGCATGAATTGCAATATCAGAAGAAACCAGTTTCACACAAAAAAACAACTGGGAGGAAATGTACGTGGACTCCAGAGAAACTCAATGAATGAGAAAGGTTTTCCTACATATAACTGAACAATATGGGACAGCTTCATATTTCATGAAATGCAGCTCCCAAAGAGGTTAGGCTGTAGGTCTTATTAATAAATGTATAACTCAGCTAACAAAGCCTCTAACAAAGAAGGTTCTTCTCACAAAGTCCTTTCATACCCATTTGATCTCCAACTTCTCTTTGTTTTCTTGCTAGCTGCATTTTTAAAAAACAAAACAAAACATTCGGTATTGGCACTGGGAGGGTGGTGGGGGATAAAGAATCGAAACACCAACCTTCAGGTCAACAGTTCAGCTGGCACAAGGATTTAACCCATTGTGCTACCATGGCTCCTAATCCAGCACTGGAAGCTTGTGTATCTGCAAGACAGGGTGAGCTCCCTTCTGTCAGTCCCAGCTTCTTATGCAGAGACATGACAGAAACCTCCCACAAGATGGTAACACATCTGGGCATCCCCTGGGCAATGTCTTTGCAGATGGCCAATTCTCTCACACCAGAAGCGACTTGCAGTTTCTTGAGTTGCTTCTGACACAATTTTTAAAAAGTGCTGGATTGGAACTGCATGTCTGCAGTAAACATCGCAATAAAGCTTGAGATGGGAAAATGAATTCTTCTCTAGTTGATCTTACTGTTTCAGAATGCGTTTATATAAAAAGACCAAGATAAGCAGCAGCTGCCCCCAGACTCCCTTACTGAGAACATGTAAACAGCAAAACAGAACAAAAATGTGAAAGCATGTAAGCCTGCCTCATTAGCTATTCCAGCACATTAAACAAAATCATAGGTTTCTAAGTTTGGGCAAGAAAACAGAAATCATGAAAAGTTACAGTTCTGTGAAAGAAAAGTAATCTCTGGAAGCATTTTGAAAGAAGGAAAGTGGTCTCCATGAGCCTCAGAATGTCTTTGCTTACTTATGCAAGGACTTACCAGACCTGGTTTTATTTCACATGTGCATATTGTTAGTTTGGGGCAAAAAGTCTGCTGAAACAAGGTGAGCTGCTCTTCTTTTGAGTGGTACAGGAACGTATCCTTATTTTATCCACACTATCCCTGCCTTTGGGTATCATATTTTTGTTAAAGAAGAAACACCCAGGAACACATTGTTATCTGAGCTATGCCAGTAAAACAACGAGCTCAAACTTAGAGACTGAGATTCCTATCAGTAATTTTTGAGATAATCATTCACACAAATTAAAAGCAGGCTCATAAACCACTCTAGCCATTTCTTCTTCAAGCTGGGAGTAAGCAGCAGGGAATACCCCCCTCCCGTGTAATTATTATTTTGCTCTGTAAATACAGAAGAAACACAAGAATACTATGGTGATAGGAGCTGTAATTATAGAGAGAGATTGACTGTAGCATACTTGACAAATAAAACTCATTGACCCCCTAAAAAGAACATTTGGGGCTGAGGCTCTTCTTCCTCTTTCACAGGAACACCAACTGCTCAAATACTATTAAAGATCCAGAAGCCTAGCTCTTTAATCTCAAAGTAGGACTAAAAGGAAGGACAGAACAAATACAAATTTACTGGTATCTGTTCTGTCCACTGGCCATTCCTGCTTTGGGCTCAGCCATACAGACAAACTTTGTGTGGCAGGGCAGGACATTTGTGGTGAAGATGGAAACACACTTTCCCAAGTCCTGATGTAGGTTGAATTCCCAAAGCCTGTGTGCTATAATGATCCAGTTCCTGATATGCCATTAAATCCTCTGGATTACCACTCACTCTCTTTGAGTCTGGCCTATCCTAGAGCTATTGTGAAGAAAGACTCGGGAATAAGAGTATTAATATTCCATCTTGAATATACTGGTAGGAATATAGTCACAAATATAATAAATAAATATTGTCATTTTTCCATTGACTTAAATACAATAAAGTGTCCACATCAAACCTGGGTGTAGTAGGAATGAGAATATGTGGAAAAACATAGGCAACAGCTTTTCCCCACCTGGTAAAGTGCTCAACAAATAGAAAAGGGCTGTCTGTATCTTCTATCTAAATTTCTCAAGTTGTGATTTCATGGCTACCTTTTGTCAGTTTCTCTGGCTCTGTAGCAGCAAAGGTACTAGAAATGAGTGGGTGAACAGTCAGATAAGCCACTTATAAAGCAACAACTGCACAAAAGGAGTGCAAGGTTTTGCCATTATACTGGGAGATAATGTAAAAGCTGTTTATCACTTGAGCTGGGCCAGCCCTGCCCTTAGGCAGATGGAGACAGATGCCTCAGGTAACAGATATGGATGGGGAAGTGGGGGGAAGAGCACTGAAGGCATGACAAACGTAGAACTGTGTGTGTCATTTTGCTTCCCTGCTTCCCCGTGAGCTTGTCTTTTGCCCTCAGATACTGTTCTGTTGCTATTTTTGATATAAGGCTCAACTGTCAAACTAGTCAACTTTGGTATTTGGTATGGGAGAGGGGCAATGTGGGAGATGCTACAATCTGTAAAATGAATCTGGCCAGAGAATAAGTTGTAGCTGTCCAGATGTTTTGAAATGCATCTCTTACCATTTATTATGCTGGTAACTGTTGAATGGAATTAGATTCTCAAAAACATCTAAAAGGCCAGGCATTCTCCATTCTGACTTTAGGCAGAAAGGGAATACAAACCGGTATAGGTCTCTTTATACCAGAAGTGTTATGCTAGATAATAATTCTCTCCAGCTTGAGTCTACATAAGAGCTGGAGAGGATGCTGGCAGCCACAATCTAAGACCATCTAGCAAGTCACAGTTGCCCAGGCAGCTTTTATATGAATGTGCACATCATCAAAGAAATTCATCCACACCTTTTGCATACAGCTCGCCCTGTAAAGCGGAAGCTACCAAAGCAGATATATCGACTACCTGAGAATGGAAGCAGCCACACAAAAAAGTAACTCTACACACATTTATTTACAGGACACACAGGTCCAGATTGCTTCTAAAGGGGCTGTGCCCCAATAAAGCTGTCTTAGGGATATATTTCAACCAACTAAATAAGATTCTTTTTTTCTTACTTGCCAAACATGAACAAAACAAAAAAAAGAGAGATGATTTTTTCTCTTCTCAGTCCTACTGGCACCCCAGAATTCCCTAACAAACCATTGGTGTAGAGATGGGGAATGCTGCCAGCTATGTCAAGGCACTCAAGACTGGTATTATAGTCCCTCTCACAGGACTGCTCTAGAAAGAAAAGGGCCCCAATTGCAAACATGTCAGGCTTGGCAGGAGAGCAAACCAAGAAACTCCTCAGAAGTGAAACTGGACGAGGTAACGGATGCGACATTGACTCTCCTGGTAGATGAGGTACTCGCTCTGGCTGAAGGATGAGTTCTCATATTGCTTCATAGGAATGGGCTTTCCTTGGGAGATCAGTACTTTTTTCCCGTCCAGGATTAATTCTTTATCACGCGCAGGGTCTGGGAACAACAAAGCAAGCAAAGAGAGGGGGCCATCAAGGGTTATGATAGTTAGACTATCATAATAATTTCCCCTCCCCTTTTTTCAGTTTCCTGACTCACCAGGTTCAGTCCTGCCACAGGCCAAGACACTGTCATAACCATTTGGGGGTTTGCGTAGGGAAGAGTCATCGCAGGTGATACGATACTCTTTGCCGAGGGCCACCTCATTCAGGAACATGATCCCCACCTGCTTGGAGGTGGTGCCAACTGGGTGGAGAAGAGAAATAAAACATAGGTGAAAATGGCCCTATAAGCACACTCTCCAGCAATCGTTGAAGATGGACACACAGACTGCAAATGTTCTGAACATAATGTGGAACCCTCTTAAGAGAAATCCTAGAAAATTAAAGCAGGACTATGTGAAAGAAATGCTAAGCAAGCAAGTAAACAAGAACCAATGTGACTGCAGCTATCCCTTCACATTTGTGGTTTTGACTTTTGTGCATTTGATTTGAAATGTTCTCCCTAGATCCTCCAGTATGGTTTTATGATCAACTTCATCAAGGGCATAGAGATTTCTAGAGAGGAAGCCTTACAGGTATCTCTAGGTCCTCCAACACAATTCTATAATCAACCGCCAGCAGATGTCAACCATATAATCATACTGGAACACCCAGAAATTCCCAGAGAGGTGTTATCTCAGATAAAAGATCAGGCCGGGCTTTAGCACAACTGGTTAATCACCAGCTGCAATACATCTTACGAATCAAAATGTTGGAAGTTTGAAGCCCAGGTCTGGGTGAGCATACAATCTTTAGTCCAGCTTACTATTCACCTAAGCAGTTCAAAAACAGCTGTGAATAGAGAAATTAGGCACCACTTAAGTGGGAAAGTATTTTACGGCATCATAAAAGAAATACCAGAAAATGCCGTCGATCAAAGAAAGGAGGAAGTCTGTGATCAAGGCTCGTCATAGAGGATGGAGCAACAGCACCCGTGGCCAGAATCAAGCACAACCTCCAGGACGCCAAAGTTGGGGGAAAATGCCGACATAATACCTCTATCTCAGTGGTTCTCAACCTGTGGGTCCCCAGATGTTTTGGCCTTCAACTCCCAGAAATCTTAATAAACTTGATAAACTGGCTGGGATTTCTGGGAGTTGTAGGCCAAAACATCTGGGGACCCACAGGTTGAGAACCACTGCTCTATCTATTATCTGTCCTGTCTGTTTAATGGCATTGAATGTTTGCCGTGTATGTGTGTTCTGTGATCTGCCTTGAGTCCCCTTCAGGGTGAGAAGGGCAGAATGTAAACGCTGTATACAAATAAATAAATAAACAATAGCAATTTCTTTATTTACAATTTTCATGGGGGGTTATGTGCCTCTAACCCCAGTGAAGTGAAGGATTGACTGTAGCTCCAAGTGTGCTGAAGAAATACCTCTGGGCTTTGTGGTAAAACTTAACAGAATCTAGGGTTAGAAAAAGGGATAGATTTGTTTTTTTTAATGGCAGGGGAAGTGGATCGAAAGTGATGAAACAGGTGAACAGTCTGGAAATTTTTTTACCTAAGTATGAAAATAAAGTGAAATCAAGTGAAGATGCATACATTTGGAAGATGCTAAGTTAAATGATGTGGCAGTCATTAAAGGAAAGTAGAATACATTTGAGAAGATGCTGAGTTAAGAGGGATCAATGAATGGGAAAGTGTGGATACTACTAGGCCAGGATATGTTGTGGTACAATTGTTGTCATTTGCCTTCTCTAAATACCTGTGATGTTTTCCAGCTATCATATATGGATAGTACTGACTAGAGGCAGGAGAGTTTGCAAGTCCATAAAGTCAGGAACAGGAAATCTCCTGCCGATGAGCCAGATATAACTTGTGGTGTAATGCCTCTTTAAAGCAATTCTGCATTTATTGCAGATGCCGTACTTAATGAGCCAAGGTTTGCCAGACCTCATTCACAATGTAATGCTGGAGTTTGTGAAGACATAAACCCTGCCTCTGTTGCCACTGGACTTTAGTGACTTTCTGACTCCATTTTATAGTAATTTTAGCAGCAGACATTACATGCCCCATCGAGATCCCTGCAATAAATCCAAGGTGCCACAAGATGAAGAGCAACCCATGTCTTCTCCCCAGTTAGGTTACAGATGTAAATGCAGCAAATCATGACAGGGCAGCAAAGAAGGCTCTAACTGGCCAAAGGAAGTAGAGAATCATCTCACCATAGCCTGCCGATTTACTGTTCTCAGATGCAAAGTACAGGCCCTTGCCCACACGTCCACCAGAGTGTGGCATGATGCGCAGGCCACTCTTCAGGATGGCAGCAACAACTGCAACATTGGTGCCATGCCACAGCAGACGCCTGTTTTCCAGATGGTCATGGATCTTGAAACGGCTACCCTGGAGGCATGTGGGGAGGAAATATAAAAGGGATAGTGAGTGGCATTCTACACAAATTGTGCACTTCTATGCATGTCATTGGTGGTGGGGCCAGAGCCTGGATTGTGTATTCCACACTGGGGAAATGCATCTAGACTGTGGAACATACACCAGGGATAGCATGTTCTACTGTAGAAATAAGGAAAGGGTGGCTTCTACATAGTCACAAGGGAGTTTGCAAGGTTTGAAAGAGCCAATCCAGCAGAAATGCTGGATTGTCTTTTCTAAAAACTGTTCCGTACATGTTCCCTGGAAATGTGGGGAGTAATTTCATTGTTTCTGCCACCCCTATATGTTTTAGGCTTGGGCAAACGGGAAGTAAATCAAAGTTGGCTTCTGTCTCACTTCCTGCTTGAAAAAAAGGTTGCTCCTAGACTTCAAACATCCCAGCAGGAGATAAGAACATGGCAAAATTGGCCCCATATTTACTAGGAGCCAGATAAAAGTGCTTTTTTGGTTTTAAAAGTCCCCCACAGCAAAGCTCATCCCTATATGCATAGATCTAAATGCATCCAGGGGTGTTGATCTCTCAAAAACCAAACTGGAGTGAAAAAAATTAGTGCTTTTTACGAATGGAACAGGTTCTTGTTCTGAAACTTTAGGATATCTTTAGGATATAGTCCTGATGTAATGAGATGTGCATGGCTTTGTCCAAAAACAGCTCAGGCAATTGTGTTCGTAGGTATTGTAAATACACTGAGCAGAACAAAAAGAAAAAAGACTAGAGACAAAGTTGAAGTACTTTGGCCACATCATGAGGAGACAGCAAAGTCTAGAGAAGACAATTATTCTGGGGAAAGTGGAAGGCAAAAGGAAGAGGGGTCGACCAAGGGCAAGATGGATGGATGGCATCCTTGAAGTGACTGGACTGACCTTGAAGGAGCTGGGGGTGGTGACAGCCGACAGGGAGCTCTGGCGTGGGCTGGTCCATGAGGTCACAAAGAGTCGGGAGACGACTGAACGAATGAACAACAGAACAAAAAGAGAAAGACACTATCGCCTGACCTTACCTCACCCTCCCTGTTAACTTTCCAAATATTCATGACGTTAAGTTTTCGGTAACTGCAGCCTGTCTTCTCTATGTAGTTTACAGTCAGCTAATGTGGGGAGAGAAAAAAAGGAGGAGAGAAAATATGTGATCATTAAAGTGCCAAGGCATATTGGATATGCAAATCAGCATTTTTCAGTTGAGAAGCAGATAGACCTACATGCTGCCCCTGTTTTACAGTGGTCTCCCACCCCCAACCCAGAGTTTTGGTGTTCTACCCCACAGTCACAGAGAACAAGAAGCTTTCTATGGAGTTATCATACCTTATAATCCTCTACTGATGGGTCTACCAGGGTGAGCTGGCACTTCAAGAGTCCATAGTCCTTGTCCAGTGGATGTGGTACTTCCTTCATCTCCTCCTCCTCTTCTTCCTTCTCCTTTTTCTGGGCCTGTAAACTTTGGGCCAATTCAATATCTGCCAGTACCTATCAAGAAACAGAACCATAATATGTATGTCTCAGGAGGAAAAGGGGGGCTACCAAAGAAGCATTTATTTATTTATGTATATATATATATCCCGCCCTTCTCACCCCGAAGGTGACTCAGGGCGGCTTACATAAGCAGCATTATTCCATGCCTGAGCAACAATTAAAAGCAATTAAACAAACAATTTAAAACAACATTAAAACAACATATGTAAACATTAGATGACTATTGTGCATATATCCAAAGCCAGATAATCAGATAATCATATTAATCAATCTAAAGCCAATTCCAACTGCATTGCATAGATAATTATGCTGGGCCAAATGCTTGCTCCCGAAGCCAATTTTTCACTTGTTTGTGAAGGAGAGAAGGGGCCGATCTAATCCCACTAGGGAGGGAGTTCTACAGCCAAGGGGCCACCACTGAGAAGGCCCTGTTTCTCATCCCCAACAGTCATGCCTGCAACGGTTGTGCGACTGAGAGCAGGGCCTCCCCAGAAGATCTTAACCTCCATGATGGTTCATAGAGGGAGATGCGTTTGGACAGGTAGTCTACTTACATTCTGTCTACAATTCTCTACCACTGAAATCAAAGTCCTTTACTTCTTAATAAATATGTTTACAACTGTGTCATCAGTAAACCATTGTCACTGAGGCAATTTTACTATTTTTTATTGTAAGAGCAAAGGAGCTTTTGTTCCCTTTGCCAGTAAGGTATTTTGAAGTCAAGGACTGAAGCCTTAACATCCATTGAGCATCCTAGCTAGGTACTCAAGGCTACTGCTTTCTCAGTAAGACTGCAGTAAGACTTCAACAGCTGACTTTTTTCTCTTTAAGCCCCAGGCAACAGGATCTCTCTCCTCGTAGACTAATTATAAATTCATAATATTCTTATAAAAGTGCAACTTTAGCTGATGGAAAGAGTCCCATTATCAACGTAAAACACAAACCCTGATAACTTTTAACATAAGTAGAAAGAGACTTGCACTGAGCAAGTGGAACCAAAGGGTCCCATCTCAAGGACATGCGAGAAGCCTCCCAAAGGATGGTAGAACATCCGGGCATCCCCTGGGCAACGTCCTTACAGATGGCAAATTCTCTCACACCAGAAGCTACTTGCAGTTTGTCAAGTTGCTCCTGACATGAAAAAAAAAACCCCAGGGATTGCCCAGAATGATGCTTGAATCTTGTCTGACATCATTTCCACCATTTTTGATTTTTCACTGCACCACTTTCGAGCCAGATACAAATCTCTAGCTGGTAGTGTAGGCAAACACGTAGAAGTCATAACAAGTAAGGAAGCTTCATCATTGGACAGTAAGCCCATAGTATAAAGACATCAGCAAAAAACTCTGGCAAACTGGACAACTCTTAGTCCTCTAATTTTTCTTGGATTAACAAGGAGGATGGGATAAATCCTCCAAATTCCTCACCAACAGCATATCTTTCTTAGCCTGGATGATCTCTTGTGTATTAATGGCTGGAGGACGACAGCGGCCAAAGTTATGAGGGATGATGGTGTAGAAGCGAGAGGAAAGCTCTTCCAACTTCTTCTGGGAACATGACTGCTCCTGCAGGGCTGTTTCTATGGCCTCCAAGGCTTCAAAGCCTTTGGCAATCTGCTGTTTGCTTAGCTTCCCTAAGGGCATCTTCTTCACATCTGACAAGACAAGAAAGTGGGAATGTTTGGCAGAAATCAACCCAACAGATTCTGGCTTCGAAGAATTATACAAACCAGAGGTTGAAGAAACCCAGATTGGATTGCCATCAGCTATCACTACCCAGATCTCTCTTCCACCCTTTTAAAGTTCAATTGCAGCATTGCCTGATGCTCCTAGGTTGATCTTCACTTGTAATAAAGGACCAGAGAACAATTCTTACCATCAGTGGCAGCCTGGGCCTCTCACCTGAGTCCCCTCCCCCTCTGACCTCATTGCAGCTGTACATATCAACATTACCCATAAGTCATATGGAGAACAAGTTTCTAACCACATTAAACACATTCATTAGTAACAGGACATGGAACTGAAACATGTGTGATACCAAGAATAAGGAATATGGCACTTCTCCTACTCTTTTTTAATGCAGAGCAAAAGGCAACCTCAGTCTTTACCTATATTCATGGTCTGCATAGCATCTTTAAACATGTCATTGCTGAAGATGAGGGAGACCAGTTCCTGGGTTGGCTTATTCAAGGTGCATGGTAGTATTCTCTGCTTGGATGGCTTCACTCCATCTGTGCTGTCCACCTTAGAGACAAGAAACAATTGGCTCCAGATCCATACATAATTTAGATCTTTCAGCCAAGGCGGGACATAGATTCACAATTACAACACACAACTTGGCAACAAGTACCCTTGAACATAGCAGGCCTTACTTCAAAAATACATGCGCAGGACTGGACTAAGTGTTCATTCCACCCTGACTTAGGTCATTGTCAGAGGAACTGGTGCATTTATGTGTTCCCCATGTCACCTCCTGCAATGACCAGCTTCCCTTCATGCCCTCTTGTGCCCTCCCACCTCTTGTACGCTTATGCACACACGCATACACATTGAAAAGATAGTTGCACAGTGGCCATATTACAACCAAAGATTTGGGATACTACACTATAACTGTGTCATAAACTTCCCATGTTGTCATTGATGGAAAGACCAGTGAAACTTTATCAATTTGCCTCTTTCCAACCACTGTATGTTTCATATAAAACTCATCTGAAAATGATCAGTGACCCACAATTAAGAAGCTAGTAAAATGCAATCTTATAAAAGCATGTCACAAATAATTTGACAGTATATATTCATGTATAAGTTTTGAAACTTTATTCAAAAAATTACACACACACACACACACACACACACACATTTTGGTCATCTATTGTAAGTATTTGCACTTTAACTCATAGCAAGAGTTCAGTCCATCCCGTGAAAACCTAAAAGAAGAACCAACCGAGCCCCTCTCTCCGCTGTGGCACACCTTCTGCCCTTTTTTGAATGTATGGGAGGAAAAATGGTGGTGGTGGTCCTTTGATGCTTCCTTTCAAAGGAGTGCCAGGAGAATATAATTGGTGCTTCTTTTAAATTCTTCTGGAACAGACAAAACTTTCACTTTCACAACAACTCAGAGAAGAGGGTGGTTCTTTTTGATAAAATATTAATTCTTATTTCAAAAGGAACCATCACCTTCTCTGAGTAGAGTGGCAAAAGGCCTTTCTGAATGCGTACGTGGGAAAAGGATAGCAGGGCTTTGGCAATTTCCTCTCTCCACAGAATGACTCTTGAGTTATCCACAGGTGGTATCAAAATTAACAATTTTGCCCCCCAAACTTTCTTGACTTATATGTGAGGCTGACGTATATACAAGTACTGTATATATGGTAAAGCTGAAGTGTGCCATTTGCCTGAGCAAAGACTTTCTGGTGACCCTGACATAAATACAAGTGCATGGAAGGAAGTCATAGAACAGGATTAAAATACATAAACATCTTGAAGAGGTCAGAAAATTGGACTAGCAAAGCTCCAAGTCAGAATACTCGCCAGCAAATGTATAAAGCCAAATTTCTACTTGTTGGAATTCAAAAAACAACCACTAATAATAAGTCCAGAAACTGTGAAAACGCGAAGAGTACACAAGTTTAAATGTCCAGGAGAAAACCAATGTGCTGATAACAACATACTATATAATCAATCAATCAATTAATTACTTCATTTATATTCTGCCTTTCTGACCCCACAGGGGACTCAAGGCTGCTTACAAAATTCCGTCAAAAATTCAATGCTGCATATAAACACAAGAATAAAATTACACCCCCCATCAAACTATAAAACCATTAATACACATAGGCAAATAAAACACATGGAACAATAAAACTGATTAAAAATGTATAAAGTGCAGAGTCTTGTTGTTGCTGCCAGAGAAAAGAGTGAAACACTGCCTGTTATGACTAGCAGGGATCTGCTATATAGTTGATGGGACACACTATTTAAAGTACATGCAAATATTTTCCTCATACTTAAAAACTGAGCATAGTGAAAGGTAAAAGCAATTTTCATTTCCATTGGTTGCACTATATGAAATTTTAAACAGACTTAAATTAATTGCACTATGTGAGATTTTAAACAGACTTAAAATAATTTATCCTTAAGAATTAGATGTGATTAAATGTGCTGATATTTGGCTGGACTATGTCCAAACTTTGCAATAGAACACATGATAAGGGAATGACCTGTGTAAGGAACACTGAAATGGCTTTCAATAATAGCCATGAGTAGGAAAACGTAGCCTTTCAGATGGTGCTGGACTACAATCTGAAGGATCAAAAAGAGATAAACCTAAATATTTCCTTATTGGAAAACTCTGCAGGGTCTTTTCCTATTATCTCTAGCAAGTAAGGAATATTGAAATTGTATCAAAACATGTTACATTTGTAACTCTGGCTCTTATTTTATTATGTGATGATTATATCTCTAGTCTTTTAAACTTATTGACACTGCTGTATGTTACAAGACATTTCATAGAGAGGAAAAGAATAATCTCAACCTAAAAATTATGCAGCAACTTGTTTAATTTATAGTCTGTTAAACAGTAATCTTAAACAGTATAAAAAGCACGTAAAACCTTACAACAAAAATGAAAGAAAATCATACACAAACCCTTCTGCACAACCAGTCAATTGCCAAAAGGTGTAATAAATATATAGGTACTGAGTTGTTGAAAGAAAAGAAGGCTAGAAATTTGGGGACCAAAGACATATGTCATTAAGTAGGGGCAGAATTCTTACACCCTCATTTTGCCACATACCCTTAATATGTACAACCCTGTTTCAGGTGTGGGCAGATGATATACTGCTCTTTTCATCATGATTCTATGGTGCACTTACCAGAACTGTGACTTGAAGTTGTATGCTATGGACTTATGGCACAAGTCCTATCCATTTTTATCTGAAAGTAGATTTCTACTTCACAAGATTCAGATTGCAGCCTTGGAGCAAAGGAACAAGGATGCCCCTGTTTGGCCATATGCTCACCCAGGAATGTAGTTTTCAATATCAAAACTGAGCCTGCAGCCCTTTCGCAGAAAAACATACTCTCTGTTTCTCTCTGTGGTTTCTTTGATTCCACAGTCTAAATTCAAAGGAAAGCCTTTTTGCTATTTCTATAGTACAGGGGTCCCTAAATGAAGGTCCATGCAGTCCTCCAAGGTCAATTACCCGGCCACATCCTAAACTTTAGACCTAGGGTTGCCTAAGTTTGAAGTAACTTGAAGGCTCACAACAACAATTGAAAAGCAGGCCACACTTTCCATTGAAATACAAAAGTTTATGTTGGTTAAAATTAGTCTTCATTTTAAATATTGTTTCCCCCCCTTTTTGCACTACAAATAAAATATCTGCAGTGTGCATAGGAATTCATTCATGTTTTTTTTCAAACTACAGTCCAGCTCCCCAACAGTCTGAGAGACCATGAAGTGGCCCTCTGTCTAAAAAGAACTGACTCTCACTTTAGTACAATAAATGGCACTAGAAAGCATTGTTGAATTACTACAAATCACTTAGAAAGCTAGCAGTTGATCGGCTCTACCGTCTCCCACTTCTGCTTACAGACCCCGGCTTTTACCTTAAGTATCACTTCTTGGTCTTCTTCATCCCCTTGTTGCACCTCAATCAGGGTATATTTGCCATCATGACAGACAAAGTTCTCTCTGTCAGCCCAGTTGTTCTTTGTCTTGTCCCGAAACTTCTTCTCAAAATCTTTCTTGGCAGCTTCCAAGGATGGGAAACTGCTGAGTTTTGACTGTCCTGCTTCACCCTAGAAGCAAGATCAGGAAATTAAAAATGTGGTAGTAAGTGCATAAACATTTTATCCTTCTGCCCTGTGACTTTTCTACATTCTTTAGAGTGCTTTAATATGAAAATTCTGGGATAAAATTCTGTCTTGGATATGCCAAATAGTGGGGGAAACAGTTTCTTTTAGTGGGCACTGCTAATGATCTCTCAATTTGAGAAGGAGAATAAAGATTTGTCAAGTAAACACATCATATTACTTAGGATGGGGGCTATGATGGTGCAGCGGGTTAAACTGCTAAGCTGCAGAACTTGCTGATGGGAAGGTCGGCAGTTCGAATCCACGGGATGGGGTGAGCTTCTGTGGTTAACCTCAGCTTTTGCCAACCTAGCAGTTTGATAACATGCAAATGTGAGTAGATCGATAGGTACTGCTTTGGCAGAAAGGTAACAGTGCTCCATGCAGTCATGCTGGCCACATGACCTTGGAGGTGTCTATGGACAATGCTGGCTCTTCAACTTAGAAATGGAGATGAGCACCACCCCCCAGAGTCAGACTCGAGTGGACTATGTTATCTATGTCAAGGTGAAACCTTTATCACTTATGATATATGCAACAATGCTAGAAATTGCCAAAATTTGAGGAAAAAGTAGATAATTGATTGAGACAAAATAGGTTAAACAAAATACGAGCTATAGCCATATCAGAAAAATTAACATATAAGCTAGGAGTAGCAAAGTGAGAAAAAAGGCTTAAATATTGTACAATGAGACTGTCTGAATGACTCCATGTTGCACTCCAGACCAGGAAACACCTCTGTACTTAATCACCACACTGTAGTCCAAGTTAAATCTGCCAAGTAGTTTATTGAAGATTATATAAAACAGTAGTTCAGCAAAAAACAGTAAAGTCTATACATATAAAATAGTCCATAATATTCAAGGTACAAAAGTAATCAAAATCTCAAAGCTACAGGACATCCAATACAGGAATACAAGAAAACCAGGAAGCCAAGGCAGTACACAATCCAATAGAAAAATCCAGGAACAATCCTTCAAACTTGGAAGCATGAATCAGGAACAAAGACGTGGAACTAGAATTCCCTCAGAAAGCTTGACCAGGACTTGGCAAGACCTGTTTGCTCAACTACCAACGTTGACCAGACTGGCTAGGAAACACTCCTGACCTCTCTAATAAAGACATGAAGTCATGCCTTCTCCCATGAGTTGCTGCTATGGGTCTTTTCTGTAACAGGCGCTGTGACCTTCGGAGGTTCTGCTGAGCAGTCCGAAAATTAAGTCTCCTATCAACCAACTCATTATCTTGCAACTCATTATTTTCTGCACCTGAGATTTCAGTCTCTGAACTCTTTTTCCTAGAGAACTGCTCCTTTGCATCATTTGGAATGTATCCTTCACTGACTGTTGGAAGCACAGACTGCTCATTTTCAGGACTTTAAATCTCATGATGAGGATGACGATTATGATACGTTATTTGTACATATTCTGCCCTATCTCCTGAAGGGACTCAGGGATTCCAACATAACAATGGCAAACATTCAATGCCTTCATAAAACAAACAAATCTATATAAATAAAAATGTGGGATTAACATAACTCAAAAACCACTGGATGAATTGACGCCAAATTTGGACAAAATATACCTATCAGGCCAATGAGTGACCATCACTCATAAAAACACTGAAAAACACAGCAGAAAAGACTTAAAAAGCAAAAAATACACTATAACGTGTGCGCAAAACCACATATATACACAAGCACACATATATACACATATACACAAATATATACACACACATATATGCATATAAACACACACGGAATACATATACACAGCAATGTGTGGCAGGGGATGGCTAGTACTGACATAAAATCCCAGAGAAACCCTGCATTTGAAAATAACATTAAAAACTAACATCAGTAAATTATTGCTGGAAGGCCCAGATTCCCCATTGCCTATGTCCACACTAACATGAGTGCCAGACACAATCATGGGCTGAACTACAACACTCCATATGTTATAGCATACAGTCTTGTGCTCAAGGAAGCTTATGATGGTAACGACCAATGTTCTCTATATAGCAACCCCTACAGTTCCCTAAACCAGAACTTGACAGATACTTTGCTATTAAGTTTCATCAAGAAGCCATGCTGCTCTGATTTTGGAATGCAGCATAAATGTATTCCTTTGAATTTGGCTTTAGATTTAGTATAAATTTGACGTAAGGCCTTAAGTACAATATAATCATCCTTCTGGTGGCTGCTCCCACCTCTGGAGACATGACTTGGAAGGGATCCCTCTGCAGCCTTATAGGCAGCTCAACCCTCAACTGCCATGTACCAGAAAGCAAAGAACCTTTTATCTGGCTGGACTTTGAGTAACTGGCCTAAACTGCTGTAGAAGGGAGGCAGGTATCACATTTTCTATTCTATTTTTTAGAACTTCATAGCAATTTTTAAAAATTCTTCTTTCAAAATGGTATAGTAAAGGTAAAGGTTTTCCCCTGAAATTAAGTCCGGTTGTGTCCAACTCTGGGGGTTGGTGTTCATCTCAACTTCTAAGTCAATGAGCCAGCATTGTCAGTAGACACTTCCAAGGTCATGTGGCCAGCATGATTGCATGGAGCACTGTTACCTTTTCGCTAGAATAGTACCTATTGATCTACTCACATTTGCATGTTTTTGAACTGCTAGGTTGGCAGAAGCTGGGGCTGTCAGCGGAAGCTCATGCCACTCCTCAAATTCAAACCTGTGACCTTTTGGTCAACAAGTTTAGCAGCTCAGCGGTTTAACCCACTGCACCACCGGCATAAGTAACATTATATTCCTAATATTGTGAGTGGCTCTGAATCCCATTTAGAGAAAAGAGTAAAGATATAAATCCAATCAACAAAATAATGAAATACTTCAGCTGTAAATAGTCACTCCCACACCCTGATATCTTCCACTTCTTGCTTCTATTTCCCACCCACAGCTATCAAAGTAAAATATCTGCATAAACCTCAGTTATCTATTATTTTCCTCACTCTTAGAGCGAGACCTCAGTATCTGCTGGGATTTCGTTTCAGAATCCCCTATGAATATTAAAACCGATGGATGTTTAGGTCTCAGTGTGTACAGTAGCACAGTAGCACGGCACCTCTTATATAAAATGGCAAAATCAAAGTTTGTATTTTGAATTTTTTAAAAGGGTATTTTCAAGCCCTGAATCACTGAAACTGTGGATACTGAGGGCCAACCGTACACTCTATCATATTGTCATAGGCTAACAAAAGAATAAAGAATTTAAATACAGTACAACAAATGCTAATTGTAGGGTTTTGACATTGCAAATCTTTTCTTGAATACATATTTGCCAACCATCCACCTTCTGGCAACTTTCCCCAGTTATTTGACCTATTTAGATTTTGAAGTGCAATTTACTTATTATTTCACTAGCTCTGTTTTAGTAGTTTAGTAGAGAAATCAGCTTATCTTCACTCTCCCGAACCTTTGACCTCATGCTTAGTCATATAAGGAATCCAACTTATGTCACTTTAATAAAAGCTTTACAGGCTTGCCTTGACCTTAGGCTCATTAAATTTCATAAATTCATAGCAATCCGTGCCTCCTTCTCATTCCGCACTATGCCTTTTCCTAAAGCAAAAAATACATCTTTTAATATTTTGATCCTATCTTAGGTAATAGGGATTTGGCCAAACAGACCAAAGCAGCAGAGTGTCCCTGCACCTCAGGGTGGCTAAAAAGTTACGCTGAGCTACCAGACCATCTTAAAAGGGGTTACCTGAATTTATACCGTTTTTGCTCCAGGGTGTTTTTGTCAACCAGCTACCAAGCTTGAAGTATCTTTGATAGAACTGTGCATATTAAAATTGCCTGTTGGCTTTTTTTTTTCATGTCAGGAGTGACTTGAGAAACTGCAAGTCGCTTCTGGTGTGAGAGAATTGGCCATCTGCAAGGACGTTGCCCAGGGGACACCCAGATGTTTTACCATCCTGTGGGAGGCTTCTCTCATGTCCCCGCAGGAGAAGCTGGAGTTGACAGATGTAAGTTCACCCTGCTCCCCGGATTCAAACCAATGACCTTTCGGTCAGCAGTCCTGCCAGCAAATGGGTTTAACCACCGGGAGCACAATGGCTTATGGTGACCCCATGAATTTCATATGGGTTTCTTAGGCAAGCTATACTCAGAGGCGATGCTAGCCTACAGCACCTGGCAGGTGACTTAGGGCCCTTCCAGATAGCGCCTATATTCCAGGATCTGATCCCAGATTTTCTGTTTATCCCAGATTATCTGGCAATGTGGACTCATATAATCCAGTTTAAAGCAGAAAACCTGAGATCAGATCCTGGGATACAGGGACTGTCTGGAAGAATTTTCAAATGAAAAGCTGAAAGAGCAGCAATTTCTAGGATCCCAGAGCAAAGCAGGCTTAAAATAGGAAATAAAATACTTAAAGCAGAAGCAACAGGTAAGTAAAAACTGAGTAATCTTAAAATAGCATGCCTACCACAGATTGCGCGTCTCATGGAAACCACTATATTAAAAACATCCCGATATTTGGAGTTGTGGCACTGAAGCAGAAATTGTATTTCACTGCCTGCTCAGTCAGTCTCCCCATCCCATATTCCTTCCGCTTCCCCTCCCAGGATTTGCCAAACATATTTTTCTAAATCAATTCCTCCCCTTCAGAGCGGTTAACAACTATACAGGAGTGGGTTCTCTTGAGGTCTGAGCAAATATTGTTTGCAATAAATGTGAAGTGCCTCCAGACAGGAAACTTAATTTAAATCCATAGCAACCAGGGTCTGGAGCCACATATACTTAGATCCTCGGAGAAGCTTTTCAAAAAGAAACACCACCACCATGAGCAGTTTCAGCCTTTGAGGCTACAATAATGTATCTATGTAACTATCCTATACTTATGCTGAACTCAGAGGGACTTATTATAGAGGAGTTGAAATAAGTTCCTTTCATCACATTCCCCATTTTTGCTCCTTCCCAAGCTTATCTGAGATAGTGTGGTTTACTTAACAGAAAATCACAATTGCTGTAAATGTTTCAGTGAAAAAAAGTGAGGACATGTCTCTTTGGTCTGGTATTTTGATTCTTGTAAGATTTTTGGTTTTTGGAAATCGAACTCTCTTTGTCGTAAGTTATAAATAACAGCATGCCAAAGGAAGGATAGCCCGCTGAGAAGCAGTGTTCTACTGGGATTCTCATATAAAAGTAAAGGTTTTCCCCTGACATTAAGTCCAGACATGTCTGACTCAGGGGGTTGGTGCTAATCTCCATTTCTAAACCGAAGAGCCAGCATTGTCCGTAGACACCTCCAAGGTCATGTGGCCGGCATGACTGCAAGGAGCACCGTTACCTTCCCACCAGAGCAGTACCTATTGATCTACTCACATTTGCATGTTTCTGAACTCCTAGGTTGAAAGAAGCTGGGGCCAACAGAGGAAGCTCATGCCACATTCTGGATTCGAACCTGTGACCTTTCGGTCAACAAGTTTAGCAGCTCAGCGGTCACACATCTATTATAACCATACAATCCTTTTCTATTATGTTGTCCAAACCACCCATCTTGACTTTTGATTTTTTTTAAGTGCATGCATATCAACAGCAATAAATCCTACCCTGATTTAAATATTGTGAGTACACTGTGTTTTTCACCACAGATCATGGTGTAAATTAAAGCTAACTTAACTTTTTCCTGCTTCATATCTGGTCCTCCTTTTCTTGCAAATTACACCATGTAACACGATTTTTGTTCCTGGGTTATAAATGTCATTTCCTAATTGGGTCAATCATAAAAATATGGAACAAGTTTATTAAACTGCAAAAACTTTTTGCAGGCATCCTGCAGCAAAATTTACTATAGCTTTTCAATTAATATCTCAAAGAGTCTGAACCAATTCAACAAAGTTTGTAGAAGCCACAAAAATGAAGTGTCTGGAGTGTAAAAACTAATTTTAAAGTAAATACTGCACAATTAATAGGAAATAACACTTTCAGACCAGGAATTGATTTTTTAAAGTATTTTGTTACATAGTGTTATTCATGTGGAATCATTTCTCCTAAAGCAGATGCTCCTTAGCTCCCATGAGACTTCTTATCAGAGGCATCCAATTCTTCTGACTTTACTCAATGTCCCTGTAATGTCTCATAGCCCCTATAGATATGATCCCCTTATGCTTACAGTTTCCTTTTATTGCCAATATGTGTTCCCTTCAATATGTATTCACTTGCTGCACAGCTGTGGTTAAACCGCTGAGCTACTGAACTTGCTGACCAAAAGGTTTATATGGTTGCGTGAAAGGGCCCATAGAGTTCAAAGAGACTACAAGAACCATCCTCTCCACACCCATTTTGTCATTCAGGAACACAGGATCAAAGCACTCCAGAGAGATGCACATCCAGCCTCTGCTTAAAAGACTCAAAGAGAGAAATTCCACCATGCTCTGAGGCAGCATATTTCACTGTTGAACAACTCTTACTGTCAGGAAGTTATTTCTGTTGTTTAGGTGGAATCTCTTTTCCTGCAATTTGAATCCATTGCTCCATGAACAAACATGGTACAGATCAGTCCCAAATAGAGAAGCTTAAATTCAGCAGTCTTCTCAGAGCTAAAGGCAAAATGATTCAAAACACCAGTTAGGCCTATAGCAGATAAGAAGGGGAGATGTGGCCATCAGTAGACATTTGGTGAAGTTCAAAGTATTGGGAATCAAGCAACGAGGGTTTATGAAAAAACAAACAGCCCTCTGGGAAGCAAGCAGCAATGCAATGCCAGGCTAAAAAGGGGACTAAAGCCCAGGTGTTATACTTGAAATGGTGTGCAATTCTGTCATTGGGTTTGTTCTGGTTACCCTTTCATATTTATTTAATGCTTCTTCTGCCTTTTTTTTCTTTCCAGAGAGGCTTAAATGGAGTAACTGTACAATGATCTTGACTAGCAACGGCAGCATGCAACCTTCTGGATGGAGCCCTATCAGCACCTGTTTGCTTCTCCCAGGGAATGGAGGAGAGCATGCCTGGTTGTGAAATGAAGCAGCAGCAAATAGGTCATTTTTTTAGACTTGTGTAGCAAATAGACAGTCTACCCTATTGCTTTTAATGTTTTCATTATTAAACAGCTGGAGCAAACCTATTTTGTTCAACATCTAATGGGGGGGGATAATGCAAGAACACAAGAAAAACCCAGCAGGATGAGACCAAAGGTCTGCAGTATTACCATTGGAAAAAGGCAGCCAGAACAAGGGATTAACATGTTGTAGACCTCCACAATAGGCTCTCAGGTGGTGCAGCGGGCTAAACCACAGAGCTGGTGAACTTGCTGACTGAAAGGTTGGCGGTTCAAATCTGGGGAGTGGGGTGAGCTCTTGCTGTTACCCCCAGCTTCTGCCAACCTAGCAGTTTGAAAACATGCCAATGTGAGTAGATCAACAGGTACCACTTCAGTGAGAAGGTAACAATGCTCCATGCAGTCATACCGGCCACATGACCTGCAGGTGCCTGCGGACAATGCCAGCTCTTCAGTTTAGAAATGGAAATGAGCACCACCCCACAGAGATGGACACAACTAGACTTTTCCCCTTACTTTTTACCCAGATACTTTCAACTTGGCTCCCAGGGCTTATGTTATGGGTCTCCTCACAGGTGTAAGCATCCTTAATATACAATATTATTCCCTTTTCTCTCCTGTTTGGCCTGTTTCTCAAAATAGGGTAGACCCCTCGATTACTGCAACAGACAATTCCTATGGTGACTTGGAGAGCTATCATTCATATGATCACTATAAGTTGAAGTTGCCTTAAAGACCCTAGTAATAACTACCTTTGTTTAGCTCCGATTCCTCCTCATTCCTGCTCCCCCAATCTGCTTCAGTACCTTCCTCTCCTATCACTCCCTACTCTCTTGGAAAAGTGATTTTTCAGACATTCTGGTGCTGGGCCCATCACATTTATCTAACTGGGGGAATAATGAGAATAAAAATAGGTAGGGAACACAGATATCAAGTAGATTCTCAGAGCCCACATATGTTGTGTTCCTGCTTACTTTGGTCTGGCAATCATTGCTGTAGGAATTCTGTGATAGTTCAGATTTTAGCAGAGTTAGGCAAGACTGGTCATGGTTGTGGCTCATTATGAAAATAGCCTGCCACTTATTTTTAAGAAGCACCAAATCTTTGGCCCATTTTAGGCAGGATACTCACCACACGGCCCCAGCGGTTCCAACAACTGTATTTCCCATTCTCTTCTATGAGTTGGATGATGTAGAACTTGTTGTTGTTGTGACCAATGTTGGTTTGGTTCAGCATGCAGTCATAGTCCTCATAAATCTGTAACAGTAAAAGAGAGCCCAACTCTGTACCTACGAGGATGTGATAACAGATGGGAATGTCACATCTTTTAACAGGGACTCAGATGGAATGGTTTATTAAACTGTTACATTTCAGACTCTCCTAGAAATTTGTGAAATGGGAACACAATCATAACTGAATACTGGGAGAACAAGCAAGACAAGATGGACAGCACATTATTATTAGGAACTGACCGAAGTATTCAGTCATGAAAGCAACTGATGGAATCCAAACAGTCCAAAAGGGGCATTTCTCATTCAAGTTGGACTGATACTTTCTCACTCCAGAGAAGCAGCATTAGTAAGAGTGATCTAAAAAGAGAAGGAGGTATTCTGAAGTCAAAAATACTGTCTAGCCCTCTTGCAGGTAATCTATTTTAGGCAATAGATTTTCTGGCAAAAGAAAACACACCTTTTTCATCATACATAGCTCCTCTCCTTCTATACTGACCATACTACACATTAATAAGCACACATATAATTTCCTGGCTGTATGGCCATGTTCCAGAAGCATTCTCTCCTAATGTTTCACCCACATCTATGGCAGGCATCCTCGGAGGTTGTGAGGTCTGTTGAAACGAGGCAAGTGAGGTTTCTATATCTGTGGAATATCCAGGGTGGGAGAAAGATCTCTTGTCTGACTGAGGCAAGTGTGAATGTTGCAATTGGCCACCTTGATTAGCACTGAATGGCCTTGCAGCTTCAAAGCCTTGCTGCTTCCCACTTGGGGGGAATCCTTTATTGGGAGGTGTTAACTGGCCCTGATTGTTTCCTGTTTTTTTTAGTGTTCCTCTTTATTCCAACAGATCTCACAACCTCTGAGAACGCCTGCCATAAATGTGGGCGGAATGTCAGGAAATAATGCTTCTAGAACATGGCCATACAGCTCAGAAAGCTCACAGCAACCCTATGGCTTATTGTTTGCAAGTAGCAGGCACATTGCTTCGTTACCTTTGTCTGCCAGTGGAAGTGATTGAAAAAACCACCTTGAGTTGCAGGACACCCAGACCTGGTACTCCTGCTTGTCTTTCTCTTAATAAGGCAGAGGAATAAACCACAAATAAACTGTGAGATAATTTTGTGGCTCATTATGTAAGAGACCAACCAGACTGGTGGCCTCAGATGTCACAATAAAGAAGCCGCAGATAAGAGTCTTGTAATTTGCTTAGCTGTTGCTATTTGAGATCAAATTATTGGGTGGACCTAACAACATTCTGGCTCATTTACGATAACCAAGAATTCTGAATAATCTCATCTTATTGTATTGACTTCACATTCTCAGTGCTCTGAGCTTCATGGTGCCCAGCACAGGACTCATCCTGAGGGAAGGCGAAATCAAATGCGAACATGGATCTTTCTCTTGCAACCTGGTGACTCTGAGATTCTTTTGACCAGAATACCTTTTAACCAAAGGAAGCATGGATAAAGAGAATTGTTGTAGGAAATATTGGAAAAGTTCTAGATTGAGGAATGCTGCCCAGAAGGATGTGGGCAATTGTGAAAGTGCCAGGGGAGTGAATCTAGGAGATGCTGCATGCCCACCATGCAAAAACATTTTCCCCCATGGCCCCCAATATACTTTAAGGGCTTTTGGGAGGGTGACGTTTTTGCCATCCTTTTAGGCACTTCTGGGTCACTTTAGGCTAAAGTTATGGGTTAAAAAAAACCCCACCCGATATACATTTATACCCCCAGAGGGCATTCTGGAGCACAAAATTTGGGGGGAGTCAAAAAAAGTCTTTAAAATCCTTGGGAAAAGGTTTCATACAGACCACTGATCACACTGTGCCAACCCTTGCAGTGGAAACTGGGCACAAGATATCCCCTCAACCAGAGCCCACTCTTACCTTACCATCAGCAGAGTTGCTCAGCCAACAAACAGAGTCAATTTTACTCTTCAGCTTCTCCTTGGGAGCTGCCTTCAAAGCCACCAAAGTGGAACGGAAACTGTCTTCCTCTGGTTCAGGCTCTGGCTCAGGCTCCTTTTTAATCTTCTTTCCCTTGACAGGAGCCGGGGTTCGGGCAGAAACCTTGCGCTTGGGGGGCATGGTTCCTTTGGAGCTTTAACCTGCCTTCCAAAAGAGTCAAGACTTCGGATGTCACTTCTTTCAGGCAACTGCAAAAAAAACCCCACCTCTAAAAGCAAACAAGTTAATCCTTTGCATGTACAGACTCAACTAAGAGGAGAAAAATAAGGCCTCTAAATGTGCCAACTCCTCCATGACAAAAGGGAGACATAAGGCTTATGGACTCCGGAAGGACCACCTTAAAATGTTTGCTGGATGAACAATGCTACTAAGGATGCATCTACACTGTAAAATGAATGCAGTTTGATATCACTTTAACTGCCATGGCTCAATTACTAGGATTCTGAGCAATAGGCTCAAATTACAGGGAAGGGCATTCTGCCTGAACATTAGGAAGACCGTCCTGACCATAAAAGCTATTCAACAGTGGAACTCTATGTGCTGTGATGGAAGATCCTTCTTTGGAGGCTTTTAAACAGAGGCTGGATGGCTATCTGTTGGGGGTGTTTTGATTGTGTTTTTCCTGTATGGCAGGGAGTTGGACTAGAAGTCCCATGTGGTTTCTTCCAACTCTATGGTTCTAATGCTGGGATTTGTAGTTTAGTGAAACTTCAGCACAACTTGGCAAAGAATGCCAAAGGTTTTTGTTATATGTATACTTGATCTGGATTGTTTTTGAAATGTTGCGAGCCACTTTGGGTCCCGATTAGAGACAAAAGCGGGATATAAATAAAGATTTGTTGTTGTTATGCTAAAGATTTTGTAAAACTACGGGTGCCAAAGTGGTAGTGGTAGTAGTAATAGTAATAATAATAATAACAACAACAATAATAATAATATATTATTATTATAATAATTATTATTATTTATATCCTGCTTTTCTTTCTAAGAGGGACGCAAAGTGACATTTTAGAAACAATCCAGATTAAGCATACGTAACAAAAACTTTTGGCATTCTTTGCCAAATTGTGCTGACGTTTCACTAAACTACAAATTATTATTATTATTATTATTATTATTATTATTATTATTATTATTATTATGCTAAAGACTCTGTAAAACTATAAGTGCCAAGGTAGTAGTAGTAGTACCAGTAGTAGTAGTAATAATAATAATTAATAAAAATCGAACTGCAAAGGCTCTGGCATAAGCCAGTACAGGTGGTCCCAGTGGTCATTGGCACACTGGGTGCCGTGCCAAAAGATCTCAGCCGGCATTTGGAAACAAACATTGACAAAATCATGATCGGTCAACTGCAAAAGGCCACCTTACTTGGATGTGCACGCATCATTTGAAAATACATCACACAATCCTAGATGCCTGAGAAGTGTTCAACTTGTGATTCTGTGATACGAAATCCAGCATATAGATCTCATTTGCTGTGACAGTAAAATAATAATAATAGAAAAATATCTAGATGATGAACACTTATCAAAGACAGCCCTAAAGAATATTAAAAATAAAAGTCATAGTATTTAGATTAGGCAGTGTTGCATAAGAATAGTCTGGTCAATAGGTTGGACCCATTTTAGGAACCATATCTGAAAACTACTATGCTTCTGAAAAAGGCTGTCACCATCCTGATCCTCATTTCTCTTGCTTTACTGCTTTGTTTTTAGCACAACCACATCTGTATTTATAAACAGAATTTGATTCAGCCCCAAAAGGCTTCAGGAAAGAACCAATTCTGCTGTCTGTTTATCCAAACATTATGTCTTTGTCTAATAATCCTAGGCAAGAGCTCCCTGAAACCCCCAAAGTACACCTTAAACAAACAGCAGTCCTGCAGTTCAGTTGCATGCAGAGAGTTTGGCTGACTCACAATCACTGCTATGAGCCATAAATAGTCCTACCTCCTTTTTCCTAGCTGTTCTGTTCTTTTCTTCAAAACAGATTTCTTTATTTCTATTGCAAAACGGTCTTGGAAGTTTTCCCAACTTCTCTCACTTTTAAGCTGCAAAGTCAATAAGATCAGCCTCTGGAAATCTGGAACTTTTGACTAGTTCTTTCAAGGAAATTGTGTTTGTGATTCTTATCATTGGTAGAGCTGTCAAGCAGTATGACATAATAGCATAAGAAAAGTTCTCCAGTATTCTGATCTCACTGTAGTACAACAGATGACTGTTGGAGGCCCACAAGCAGGACATCAGTGCAACATCGGTGTTGATAGAAATACCAACTCCAGTATTGGAGATAATATATAAACACCATGACAAGTAGCCATGGAGAACGTCTTCTGCAAATTGGTCTAGAACTCTTTAAAGCCTACCAAATTGCTGAAAGCTCTAGCCTTTTAAAATTCGGATTTGTCAGCACATTCTCAGAGGGAGACAAGAAGCATACTTTCAACTAGAAAGTCCATATTAACTAGCAGTCATTGCAAGAAGGGTACTCATGTTGAAGTATGACCTTAAACTACATATAGTGTATATTGTTACATTGACTAAAGAAAGCAGAAAAAAATGCAGCTCGATATCACTGCTTCTTAAATCCCAAATAGGGTCTCCCTAGCTCAATGTTCAGGTCACAGAACAATGATCTGGAGTAAAAGGTTTCTAAAAGTCACCCATTTACAAAAACCTGTTAGCGACAGCATGCTACCGTTTGCAATGGATTTTGCAGCAAACGCTCCAGCTGTACTCCACAAAAAGGAAAAACAGCCTGTTTAGCAAGCTTCACACATGCTGATTATCAGTAAAAGTTTGGTTTTTATACTTATTTTATATACTTATATACCTGGGGTCACATAAAAATTTATCAGGTGGAAAGGGGTCATGGGTGGAAAAAGTTTAAGAAGTCCTGGTTTGTATAAGAATCTGAGTCTTTCTAAAATGTCTTAATGCTATACATATGCAGTATAGCAATGGGCCAAAAGTTGGGGAAGGGAGGTGGATCAAGAGATATGTTTAAGAATAGCAAGTTCAACATTATGCTTGAACACAGCAAGATGCATAATGGTAGGGGAGACAGAATACATGAATGAAATGTTCCAAAATAGTCAGCTGTTCACATTTGCTGGGAATTTCTAAGTCTAGCTCTTCTATGGTCAGGCTCTACTGCAGTGGTTCTCAACCTGTGGGACCCCAGATGTTTTGGCCTTCAACTCTCAGAAATCCTAACAATTGGTAAACTGGATGGAATTTTTGGCAGTTATAGGCCAAAACACCTTGGGACCCACAGGTTGAGAACTACTGCTCTACTGGCTACTCCAATTGCACTGGTGGCCCATTCTCTCAAGAAATCTCTAGGTTCTCCAGCATGACTGGGGGAAGTTGGTCATAGAACCACATTGGAGGACCCAGGGAACATCTACACTGTAGAATTAACGACGTTTGAAACTTTTTGATCTACCATGGCTCAATGCTATGGAATCCTGAAAGCTGTTCTATTGCCTTCTTTGGCCAAAAGTGCTGGTACCTCACCAAACGAATTCCAAGTCTTCATAGCATTCAGCCATGCCAGTTAAAGTAAAAGACAAGAATAGGGCTCCACAGTCACCTACGGATCCACAAGAATACTGATACTGGAAGACTATCCTACTCGTCCAAAGAGGGATCGCCTAAGTAAGTAAGTAAAGTGATATCACACTGCATTCATTCTGCAGTGTAGATGCGCTCCTAGAGATTCCTAGAAGGACGTTTTGATCAAATCAGTGAATAATCAAATCCATAAAAGCCTAAACCACAAATGTGGAGAGACAAGTGTAATCCTGAGTTGTAGGTGCTAGAGGCTGTATTTCAGAAGAAGGAAGTGGCAAATTACCTCTGCCTATTCCTTGACAAAGAAAACCTGATGAAATTCATGGAGTTGCCATAAGTTAACAAGCAATTAAAAGGCACACACACACATATGTGCCGCAGGACATAAAGGCAAGGTGTGCTCATGTATCTCGGAGATGACACAGTCTCCTGGCAACAGATCAGTGAAAACATTAAAGCCCTTTGGATCCAGCGTGAAATAATCCCATGTGGCAAACTGTTCACACCTTGCAATGTTCCTGGCCCAGTTTATCTGCAAAGAAGGCTTTTGTATCCTGGGGACAATCTGCTAGGATTTAAGCATTCAGACTTTTTTTAACAAGGCCAATATAATGTCACATTATCAGGAGTTATAAGCAACTGTCCAATAGGCCTAGGGTGTATGCAGTTTGACACCACTTTAACTGCCGTGTTTCAGTGGTATGGAATCAGGGTACTTGTAGTTTGGTGAGATACCTAGCTCTCTTTGTAGAGAAGACTAAAATCCTTGAAAAAAGTATAGGCACTTCTTCCTGAAGTGCCTTTACACCAGGGGTCCTCAAACTACGGCCCAGGGGCCAGATACGGCCCTCCAAGGTCATTTACCTGGCCCTCACTCAGGGTCAACCTAGGTATGAAATGACTTGAAAGCAAACAACAACAACAACAACAACAATCCTATCTCATCAGCCAAAAGCAGGCTCCCACATCCCAATGAAATAGTAATAAGTTTATATTTGTTAAAATTGTTCTTCATTTTAATTATTGTATTGTTTTTAAGTGTTATTAGCACTACAAATAAGATATGTGCAGTGTGCATAGGAATTCATTCATGGTTTTTTTTTCAAACGATAATCCGGCCCTCCAACACTTTGAGGGACTGTGACCTGGCCCTCTCTTTAAATAGTTTGAGGACCCCTGCTTTACACTGTAGAATTCATAGCATTAGTGGTGACACATGAATTCTACAGTGTAAAGGCACTTCAGGAAGAAAGCCTGTCCAAATGCACTTGTGTCCTATATCATATTGTAGGTAGCATACCTTTTCCCTTACTTCATCAAACTGAACTTGAAAAGCAAGTTCCTTTTTATTGTGGGATCTGTCCATACTGAGTGGGAAATCCTCCTTTCTACGTCATTACCCAGTCATTAAGTCTTAATGTCAAAAGTGAGGCAAGGTATCTACTCAGAAGCCCTACTCTGCTCACAAACTAGGTGGCAGTTGTATTGCAAAGGCAAGAGAGGCCCCAGAAATAAGTTTTCAGAGTAAAGAGCTTATTCAGACAAGCCTTTTTACAAGAACACTGCAAGGAAACTTCAAAAGCTCTGGGAGAGAGAGGGTGTTCCTAGAATATACTATAAACAATTTAACAAGACACTTTTATAACCAAGATGAAAAGTATACATTTTATGAGGATGATTTATGTATATGTGGATTTTATATACCAAAATATTATGTATTTGTCCATTTCTCTCTTCAAACATAAGGAACATATATGATCCCAACATATTCCATGAACAGAAGACAAGCAGAATTAAGGCATTTTGACATCCTTTTAAGTCAGTTTTTTCAACCTAGGGGTTGGAACCCCTGAAGGGGTCGCAAGGGGGTGTCAGTGGGGTCGCCAAGGACCATCAGAAAGCACAGTATTTTCTGTGGGTCATGGAGGTTCTGTGTAGGAAGTTTGGCCCAATTCTATTATTGGTGGAGTTCAGAATGCTCTTTGATTGTAGGTGAACTATAAATCCCAGCAGCTACAACTTCCAAATGTCCAGTCTATTTTCTCCAAAGTCCACCAGTGTTCACATTTGGGCATATTGATATTTGTGCTAAGTTTGGTCCAAATCCATCATTGTTTGGGTCCACAGTGCTCTCTGGATGTAGGTGAACTACAACTCCAAAACTTGATGCCCACCAAACCCTTCCAGTATTTTCTGTTGGTCATGGGAGTTCTGTGAGCCAAGTTACGTTCAGTTCCATTGTTGGTGGAGTTCAGAATGCTCTTTGATTGTAGGTGAACTATAAATCCCAGCAACTACAACTCCCAAATGACAAAATCAATCTCCCTCAACCCCACCAGTATTCAAGTTTGGGTGTATTGGGTATTTGTGCCAAATTTGGTCCAGCGAATGAAAATACATCCTGCATATCAGATATTACATTACAGTTATGAAGCAACAACGAAAATAATGTTATGGTTGGGGGTCACCACAACATGAGGGTCTGTACTAAGGGGCCGTGGCATTAGGAAGGGTGAGAAATGCTGCTTTAAGTGTTGTGGCCCAATGTTGTGCAAATATGTGAGTTGTGGTTTTGCAAGGCCTTTAGCCTTCTCTGCCAAAGATGGCAGGTGCTGTCACTAAAACCCCAGCTCCCATGGTTCCATAGCCTTGAGCCATGGAAGCTAAAGCGGTGTCAAACTGCGCCCAGCCTACAGCGGAGATGCTCTCCATAAGAGGAGTGGAAGAGCTTGGGTGGCACATACAGAAGGGGAAGGAAAAGGGAGGCAGCTCAGCACAAGCACAGACCCCACCCTCCCTTTCAGCGCCTGCGGACTCACCGGGTCTGGCCTGGGATGCACCTGGCTTCGTAGCCTGGGGAAGGAGAGACGGAAGGAAGGAAGGAAGGAAGGAAGGGAAAGAAGAGGGGCGGCAAGGCAAGTCGGGGCAAGTCAGATCCGGGCTGGGCTCCGCTCCGCTTGACGAGGCTCCTCCTGCTGACCTCAGCCACCCGCCCCTTTGGCAGAAGGAGCCAGAGCACACTGCAGAACTAACGCACTTTGGCACCACTGCACACTCTGCCCTGGCTCAAGGCTATGATGGGATCCCGGCAGTCGCAGCTTGACAAGCCTCCTCTGGAAAAGAGGGCTGGGGCCTCATTAAACTACAACTCCCAGGGGAGCCAAACTGCATTCATTCTCCAGGGCAGAGGCACCCCAAGGCTGGAGCTAGGTATCTCAGTATTTGCTCCCAGGGTCCTTCCACACAGCCCTATATCCCAGAATATCCACCTCTCCACAAAAGTCAACATTGACACTGAAATACAACACCGCCCAGCTCTGCGAGTGCAGCTTTTTCCCGAATGAAGCAGAGAGTATTTGAGGACCGGGACATCCGTAGGGATACCAAGATGCTTATTTATAAAGCTATTGTAAAGCTATTATAAAGCTATTGCTTATTTATAAAGCTATTGTCCTCCCAACCCTGCTATATGCCTGCGAGACGAGGACTGTCTACAGATGCCACTTTTTTTTGTCGTGTCATGAGTGACTTGAGAAACTGCAAGTTGCTTCTGGTGTGATGGTATTGGCCAACTGCAAGGACATTGCCCAGGGGACACCCGGATGATTTTTATGTTTTTATCATCCTTGTGGGAGGCTTCTCTCATGTCCCCGCATGAGGAACTGGAGCTGATAGAGGGAGGTCATCCACCTCTCCCCGGATTCAAACCTGCAACCTGTCGGTCTTCAGTCCTGCCGGCACAGGAGTTTAACCCACTGCGCCACCGGGGGCTCCTTAGATGTCACATGCAACTCCTGGAACGATTCCATCAGCGCTGCCTCCGGAAAATCCTGCAAATCTCTTGGGAAGACAAGCGGACAAATGTCAGCGTGCTGGAAGAAGCAAAGGCCACCAGCACTGAAGCGATGGTCCTCAGCCATCAACTCTGCTGGACCGGCCACATTGTCTGTATGCCCGACCACTGTCTCCCAAAGCAGTTGCTCTACTCCGAACTCAACAACGGAAAATGGAACGTTGGTGGGCAGGAAAAGAGATTTAAAAATGGGCTCAAAGCCAACCTTAAAATTGTGGCATAGACACTGAGAATTGGGAAGCCCTGGCCCTTGAGCGCTCCAGCTGGAGGTCAGCTGTGACCAGCAGTGCTGTAGAATTTGAAGAGGCACGAATGGAGGGCGAAAGAGAGAAACGTGCCAAGAGGAAGGCGCGTCAAGCCAATCCCGACCGGGACCACCTTCCACCTGGAAACCAATGGCCTCACTGTGGGAGACGATGCAGATCAAGAACAGGGTTCCACAGTCACCTACGGACCCACCGCCAGTACACTGATTTTGGAAGACTATCCTACTCGGACAACGAGGGATCGCCTAAGTATGTAAGTAATATCAAGGCAGAAAATCCCACATTATCTGAGTGTGGACTCAGATAACCCAGTTCAAAGCAGTTATTGTGGGATTTCCTGCCATGATATTCTGGGATATAGGGCTGTGTGGAAGGACTCCCAGATAACACTATGTAACACGATTTTGGTTCCTTGGTTATAAATGTCATTTCCTAATTGTCCGAACGCATCTCCTTTTACGAACCACTGCGGAGATTAAGATCTTCTGGGGAGGCTCTGCTCTCAGTCTCGCCACCATCACAGGCATGTTTGGTGGGGACGGGAGACAGGGCCTTCTCAGTGATTGCCCCCCCGGTTATGGAACTCCCTTCCTCACAATATGAGATCAGCCCCCTCCTTCCTATCCTCAGAAGGATGGTGAAGACCAGGCTGTGGGACCAAGCCTTTGGGACAGTGTAATGAGGCAAAATGGTGTCCTGAGATGGTTTTTAAGCAATTTTTAATGTGGATATAGATGATTTTAATGCTTTTTAATATATTTATGGTTTTATGCCCTGGCATTGAGTGTTTGCCATATATATGTTGTGCTCCGCCCGAGTAGGGTGAGAAGGGTGGAATATAAATGTTTTAAATAAATAAATAAATAAATGGTTCTGTTATTAAAAGGCATGGAAAAGGTTTAACTGGTAACACACCACCTGACATCCACCAGGATGTAGCAGCCTGTAATGAAAGGACCAAGGCATTGATGGGCATCTCGGGCCCATCCTCTGTTCAGATATCAGCCAGAAAGCCAATGCCATTAGCTTCCTAAGATAGAGATACTCACAGGAACAGCTCAGCAAATGAGTGTCCAAAAGTGGCAGGCTAAAACCTCTCTATAGATCTTAGGACGCTATTTCAGCTCCTTCAAGTTCAAGCCAGTCACTTCAAGGATGCCATCTATCCATCTTGCCCTTGGTTGGCCCCTCTTCCTTTTTCCTTCCATTTTCCCCAGCATCATTGTCGTCTCTAAGCTTTCCTTTCTTCTCATGATGTGGCCAAAATACATCTTTGTCTCTAATATCCTTCCCTCCAATGAGCAGTTGAGCTTTATTTCCTGAAGTATGGACTGGTTGGATCTTCTCGCAGTCCAAGGCACTCTCAGCACTTTCCTCCAACACCACAGTTCAAAAGCATCTCTCTTCCTTCGCTCAGCCTTTCCTATAGTCCAGCTCTCACATCTGTAGGTTACTACAGGGAATTACCATTGCTTTAACTATGCGGATCCTGGTTGCCAGTGTGATGCCTCTACTCTTCACTATTTTATCGAGATTTGTCATTGCTCTCCTCCCAAGAAGTAAGTGTCTCCTGATTTCCTGGCTGCAGTCTGCGTCTGCAGTAATATTAATTAGGCCTATTTTCAATTCAAGCAACCAGAAACTACATTTATCTTGCATCTACCAATCCTCATGGGTTAACTGAGGGCCCAGAATATCAAGGCAGATAATAAGCAATATCTGTTTTGAACTGTATTGTCCAAGTCCACACTGCCATATAATCCAGTTCAATGTGGATTTCATACAGCTGTGCGGAAGGGGCCTGAGAATCTAATAATAATAATAATAATAATAATAATAATAATAATAATAATAATAATAATAATAATAGGCTAATAGCGCCATCTACTGCAAGGCTGCCAGTTTGACATTACTTTAACTGCCAGGGCTTGTAAGCTTATAAAACTACAACTCCCTGGTTCCTATAGATTTAAACTACAGTAGTTAAAGTGTTGTCAAACTGCACTGATTCAGGATGGATCTACACTGCCACATAATCCAGGTCAAAGCAGATAATCTGGATTCAGAACCTGGATTACACGGCAGTGTAGAATGGGCCTCAGATGCACCCTGCAACCAGAACACCGCGCTCGTCCAATGAGAAGCCACGCTGCGATATCTGGACGAGCGATTTCACAGACCAATAAGAGTAAAGATTTCTTTTACTCTGGACCAATAAGAGTGAAGTATGGGGAGGGGGAGGAGCGACGTAGCCAATCCTCTCCTTTCTGGAGACGGAAAGGCGACTTTTGCGGACTTTCAACCAATGAGAAGAGTCCGGGGGTGTTTCCGGCCAATAGGAGAGCGGTCGTGACGAGTGGGGTGGAGCTTCCCAGGGCACCGCGTGCAGGAAGTCTGAGTGGCTTGACTTGTGGTTCTGGAAGAAGCATGGCGGCTCCCGGAGCAAAGAGGAAAGCGCAGAGGCAACAGCGCGGGGCTTCTGCTTCGGGCGCTGGGTGGAAGAAGCGGAAGGTCAGAGCCGGGGGTTTGTGGGGAAGGGGCATGCCTGGATTCACACGCCTTCTCCATGCTGTGGAGGAAGAGGGAAGTATTCGTCTTCCTGAAGGTGCATCTGCACTGTAGCCTTAAGTACAGTTTGATCCCACTTTAACTACCATGGCTCAATGCTATGGAATACTGGGATTTGTAGTTTAGTGAGGCACCAGCCCCCTCTGTCAGAGAAGGCTAAAAACCTTGTAAAACTACATCTCCCAGGATTCCACAGCATTGAGCCAGGGCAATTAAACTGCATAATTCTACAGCATAGATGTATCCTTGGAAAAACTGATATTATATTGTCAGCTTCCATCAATATTACTAAATACCAACGTCAGGATCACCCATTCTGCTGTATTCCCAGTTTCTTGTGGTAGCAGATAGTGAAGGGCCCTGCTATGGAGAGAAACAACCTATTTGAAATGTAGTTCTACCCCTCTGTTCTGCCTTGGTCAAGCCACACCTGGAATACTGTGTCCAATTCTGGTACCGCAGTTGAAGAGAGATATCGACAAGCTGGAATGTGTTCAGAGGAAGGAAACTAAAATGATCAAGGGTCTGGAGAATAAGCCCTATAAGGAGCGGCTTAAAGAACTGGGCATGTTTAGCCTGCAGAAGAGAAGGCTGAGAGGAGACATGATAGCCATGTATAAATATGGGAGGGGAAGTCATAGAGAGGCGGGAGCAAGCTTGTTTTCTGCTGCCCTGGAGATTAGGATGTGGAACAATGGATTCAAACTACAGGAAAGGAGATTCCACCTCAACATGAGGAAGAACTTCCTCACTAAGAGAGCTGTTCAACAGTGGAACTCTCTGCCCCGGAGTGTGGTGGAAGAGGCTCCTTCTTTGGAGGCTTTTAAGCAGAGGCTGGATGGCCATCTGTCAGGGGTGCTTTGAATACAATAATCCTGCTTCTTGGCAAGGGGTTGGAGTAGATGGCCCACAAGGTGTCTTCCAACTCTATGATTCTAGTCCATAGGGGACAGTTATTCAGAAACTATGTCCTGCCAGAAAGATAAATAAATGGATCCAAAAGCCAATTAAGCTGTACACTGGGCATACTGTAAGAAGGCATGAGTTGCTGAAAAGAGTTAAAATAGAAAGTGATAAGAAAAAAAGAAGACCACTTTATAGATGGATGGATTGATTCAATAAAGGAAGCCATGACTCTGAGTTTGCATGATCTGAGCAACCATACAATGAAGTGTTAGATGGCTTAGAACAAGAGCAATTGTTTCTAAAAGGTGCAGGTGGGTGTACAATTCTCCAGTTGTTCAGTTACTCATCATTTGCTGTTGCTTCTCTCACTTTGGTTTATTAATACATGCTGAGGAATATTATAATCCACCCCAGCTAACTTGCAGTTCTGTTCTGAAAATAATATTTATTTTCCCAGCTTCCTGCTGCAGAGGAGAAAGCTTGGCAGAAAGCTGGCTCGAAGCTCAATGAAGAGATCTCCAGTGATTCTGAACCAGATAGGTGAGGATGGGACAAAACATGTCTCTGAGAGCCCTTCCGCAGTCATATAACCCAGAATATCAAGGCAGAAAATCCCACAAAATCTTCTTTGAACTGGGTGAGCTGAGTCCATATATTCCAGTTCAAAACAGATAATGTGGGGTTGCATTCAGCTGTGTGGAAGGGGCCTGAATTTGTTGTTGTCGTCCTGGTGGTGTGCCTTTAAGTTGTTTCTGACCCATGGGAGCTTTAAAGCTAACCTATCACAGAGGTTTGTTGGGAAGTTATTTTTCAGGGGTGTTTTTGCCATTGCCTTCCTCTGAGGCTGAGAGAATGTGACTTGCCCAAGATTACCAGGATTCATGGCCAAGTAGGGATTTGAACCCTGGTGCAATGCTGTATTGGTTCATTGGCTGATTTAGAGGAATTATTAGAATTATTATTATTGTTATTTACACCTCATTTTTCTCCGCAAGGAGACTCAAAGCAGATTAAATGAAAAGTATTTCAATACAGTTATGAACATCCAAGAATATTGGGTGGCTTCAAGAAAATACAGTAAGAAAGACACTTGCCTTCCAATTCCCTTTGGTTGCATAAAGCTGATGGATGAGAGAGTTGTGCCCTGAGGTAGAGTAACCTCTGTATTTGTTTAGTAATGTGCAATGCAGTGCCCTGTAGGATTCCCAGAAGACAAGACTTTTGGGGCTTTGAGTACTGAATGGTTCTCTCTGAGCAAACTGAGATTTATTTATTACTGAGGTAAGGGAGAAATGAGATCCTTCTGTATAAGCCATGTTTTTGTTATTTATAGCCCAGCAAAAAAAAAGAACAATGAAGCGGAAGAGGAGATTGATGAGACACCACAGGAAAAGAAACTGAGGTTGGCAAAATTATACCTGGAGCAGCTTCGACAGCAAGGTATGTGTGAGAAAAACTGGGTTTTATATAATAGTGATGCTAAGTAGAATCATAGAGCTGGGAAGGAATGCAAAAGCCATTTAATCCAGCACCCTTCTATGCAGGAGAACACAGCTAAAGCACTCCTAAAAGATAGTTCCATTCCATCTTTAAATGCCTCTAAAAAGTAATCAAGTGAATATCCACGTCAGTTAAAAAAAGAAACAGACTCTTAATACTGCATAAATGCATTGTAAAATAATGACAAAAAAAAAGAAATCTAGAAAAACACCTATAATCAGTAGTTTTAAAAATTCTTATCCTTTGTTGGGCGTTGGAAGGATGGCATATTTTATTGATTTTAACCAGATGTATGAAATAATTTAAATTGAGTCATTGTCACAGGTATCTCAGGGTGCATCTACACTGTGAAATTAATTTCAGTTCGACACCACTTTAACTGCCATGGTTCAATGCTATGGAGTCATCGGAGTAATAGTTCTTTAAGGTCTTTAGATGATTTGATTTTGTAAATTTTTAGTGTTTCAGTAATAAGGAACATAAAAAGCAGGGTGACTGTGCACCAAAAGCCTTGAGCCGACTGTGGACAGAGCTGGTTCTCATAGCAATGTCCCATAGCAGTCAGGCATTTGTGAGAATGTGTACAAATTGAACTTTCACATCTTTATGAATGGCTTTGCTAGAATAGTTTATTTTGGGAGGGAAAATATTACCAGTGGATTAAAGGGTCTTCAGTGAAGCAATGTTTTGTTCCTTTTGGTTTTTCAATCTGTTCTGTAAACTGTTGAGATTTACACATGGTGTGACTTTTGTCTTGGACAGAAGAGGAAAAGGCTGAAGAAGAGGCCTTTGAAAAGGACCTGGTCGCTGGCCGGCTAAAGGAAGACGTGGTAAGAAACAAATCTGGGTTTCTTGATGGGATGAACGAAACTGTTGGATTCTTTGACACTTGGATTGGGCAGATAAAAAACAAAGAGTATAACTTTCCATGAAGTGCCATCTCCTCACTAAAGGGTCGAACAAAACTGCTTCCTGTGCTACAGGGATGCACTGCGCTCAGCTCTCACTGTTGTGTGAGGAAAGATTTTAAAAAGCAACTGGCGTGCTTTCCACATAGCAGCAAGAAGCTGGTTGGCAAGCAGAAAAAACGACGAAGCTGTATTTGCCTTGACAAGTTCAGCTTCTAAGTGAGAGGTGATGAGAACAATAAGACAGCGTTACTCATACACAGAAAAACATAGTGCAGTGAGCTGCCTGCCATAAGAGTCTGGCATTAATGTGAGCTGGATTTTCAATCCAAGGATTTACATGGCTAGTAAAATGGATGGTTTTCTGTTGGGTATAATAGACAACTTGTTAGTGAAAGAGAGTATAACTGATATGTCTACACTAATTTTACAAGATGGGCATGGATAATACATAGGGTTAATGAACAGGATGCATTTGTATACATTCTACACCATTTTTTTATCGTGTCATCAGCAACCATTGTATTACAATTCTAACAGAGCAAAACAAACACACAGATTAAAAAGAAAAAGGAAAAAAAAACACACAGATTTTTCAAATTTGGTATTTGGTTAAATGTCCTTTGACCAGTATCTGGCCACTTGGAGTGCCTCTGGTGTTGCCGCAAGAAGGTCCTCCATTGTGCATGTGGCAGGGCTCAGGGTACATTGCAGCAGGTGGTCAGTGGTTTGTTCTTCTCCGCTCTTGCATGCCGAGGATTCCACCCTGTAGCCCCATTTCTTAAGATTGGCTCTGCATCTCGTAGTGCCAGAGCGCAGTCTGTTCAGCGCCTTCCAAGTCGCCCAGTCTTCTGTGTGCCCAGGGGGGAGTCTCTCATTTGGTATCACCCATGGATTGAGGTGCTGGGTTTGGCCTGCCACTTTTGGACTCTCGCTTGCTGGGGTGTTCCAGCAGTGTCTCTGTAGATCTTAGAAAATTATTTCTAGATTTAAGTCGTTGACGTGCTGGCTGATACCCAAACAGGGGTGAGCTGGAGATGTCTCTGCCTTGGTCCTTTCACTATTGGCTGCTACTTCCCGGCGGATGTCAGGTGGTGCAATACCGGCTAAGCAGTGTAATTTCTCCAGTGGTGTGGGGCGCAGACACCCTGTGATAATGCGGCATGTCTCATTAAGAGCCACATCTACTGTTTTAGTGTGGTGAGATGTGTTCCACACTGGGCATGCGTACTCAGCAGCAGAGTAGCATAGCGCAAGGGCAGATGTCTTTACTGTGTCTGGTTGTGATCCCCAGGTTGTGCCAGTCAGCTTTCGTATGATGTTGTTTCTAGCACCCACTTTTTGCTTGATGTTCAGGCAGTGCTTCTTGTAGGTCAGAGCACGGTCCAAAGTGACTCCCAGGTATTTGGGTGTGTTGCAATGCTCCAGTGGGATTCCTTCCCAGGTAATCCTCAGAGCTCGGGATGCTTGTCTGTTCTTAAGGTGAAAGGCGCATGTCTGTGTTTTAGATGGATTAGGGATCAGTTGGTTTCCTGTAATAGGCAGTAAGAGCACCTAGAGCTTCGGAGAGCTTCTGTTCAACCATCTCAAAGCTCCCTGCTTGAGCGTAATGGCACGATCATCAGCATAGATGAAACTCTCTGTCCCTTCTGGCAGTGGCTGGTCATTTGTGTAGATGTTGAACATGGATGGAGCAAGCACGCTCCCCTGAGGCAGGCCGTTCTTCTGTTTCCGCCATCTGCTTCTCTGGCCATGGAACTCAACAAAAAAGCTCCTGTTTTGTAGCAGGTTTCCTATGAGGCGGTGAGGTGGTAGTCCTTTGTGATATTATACATTTTTCTCAGGAGGAGGCGGTGGTTCACAGTATCATAGGCTGCTGACAAGTCTATGAAGACAGCTCCTGTGATCTGCTGCCTTTCAAAGCCATCTTCTATGTGCTGAGTCAGGTTCAGCATTTGCGATGTGCAGCTTTTGCCTTTTCTGAAGCCAGCTTGCTGTGGGATCAGACAGGGGTCTATATTTTCCATAATTCTATGCAAAATAAGTCTCTCCAGAACTTTGTAGAGGTGGCACAACAGGAAGATTGGTCTGTAGCTTTTTGGGTCATTACGGTCTTTGCCTGGTTTCAAGATGGCGATGACTCTTGCTTTCCTCCAGATTTTGGGGATCTGACAGGATGCAGTGCAGTTGTTCATCAGCTCCAGCAGCCAGCGCCTTGCTTTTGGACCAAAGTTCTTGATTTGTTCCATCCGTAGATCATCCAAGCAGCTGCTTTGCCATTCTTACATTTGTTGAGAGCCATGTCCAATTCAGTAGATGTAAAGGGTTCATGAAGGTTGTTGTTCTCAATCTCTGGTTGTCTGGCTATTGGTTTCTTTCCTACTTTGGTGGCAAGGTTGGGTTTCCCATTCTTCAAGAGTTGGTGTGCTATCTGATCTGCCTTTATGTTGGCATGGGTATTAGTTTGTGAGGGGTCATTGCTCAGCCGTCTTAGCAACCTCCACGCCTTCTGGCTGCTCCTGCCCATGTCGACCTCTGTGATCAGCTTGATCCACTGTTCTTTCTTGGCTTCAGAGATGGAGGACACAATGCTCTGCGCTGCCTGAAGAGTCTGCTCACTAAATGGGTCTTCGTTGTGGAGCCTGTAATAGTTTTCCAACAAGGCAGCTGTTTCAGGAGTAATGCCCTGAAGGTAGTGGGTTCTGCAGCCTCTCGGTATAGAGGCCCGTGAGCAGGTTTTCACTATTTCAATAAAATGTTCGTATTCCTCAGGGATTGGCACGACCGATGTGATCATGTCATCTAACATGTCTGAGAATTTAGTCCAATCTGCCTTTCTGAAGTTGTATCTTCGTTTAAATCGAACTTCCTGAGGCCTTATTGTTGGGAACAATTGGCATATTATTGGTCGGTGCTGTGTGTTTGGAATTGGTGGTCCCACTGATTTAGTGCATTGCTGTACAATGCTGTCGCTCACAAATAAGAGGTCTGGGTTATAACCTCGGTGCCATCTCCCGCTGTTGTAGGATGGTGGGAGCTTGCTATCATGGATGAGTGATAGTTTGTGCAGTTCAGACCAGGACAGGACAGCCTCTCCATTTCTGTCCTCTTGGGCATAGCCCCATACATGGCTATGGCTGTTGAAGTCACCAATTACTACCACCCTTTGGTGCCTGTCAAAGTTCTCGGGGGAGGAGAAGCAGAACTCTTCATTTGGGGGCTTGTACACAGAGGTGATGGTGATGTTATTAAGCTCTACTGTTATAACCTCGATATTGTTTTCTTCAGTGTTGTGGGCACTGCTGACTTGGAGGCCTGGTTTGACAAAGACAGCACTTCCATACTGCGCATGTGGTCTTTCCGCTACTAGGATCATTCCTGGAACTTTGGGTCGTTTCTGTCGTTCATCCCTGTGTGTTTCTTGGACACACAGCAAGTCACATTTCTTATCTCGGCACAGTTCATAGAGCAGTTGTTCTTTGGCAGCTGACATGCCTTCGATGTTGATTGAGATTGAGAAGCAACCAGAGACGATTCTACACCATAATATAATAAAATCACAAGATCTTTTCCTCCTAATGTCAGTCACGTGCGTTCTTAGCTTGTGTTGTGTTTTCTGTGTTGAAGTTGTTATTTCATTGCCTTGAAACATTTTTTTTCAATTGATTCTATCTCAACACAGCTTCAGACATTGAATAAGTAGCAATATTTTTAACAGGATTCCTTTAATGTAATTTAAAGCATACTGTAATTATCTCCAAAGCCACACCATTGCTTATTAAAAAAAAATAAGATTTGTAGTTATAGGATTATGCTAACTTTGAGTAATCTGTTTTGTTTGGGTGTATTCACTACATTTCATCTTCTGTGTCAATTGCTTATGTTTTGTGAAAAAAGAAAAGAAAATTCATTCTTAATTCTATTTTCTTATCCCTTAGCTTGAACAGAAAGGAAAATTGCAGCGACAGATTGCTAAAAATGTAAGTAGGAATAATATCCCTAGAGCAATTTTTCTACAGAGTTTCATAGCTTGTATTGCTTTGTTCTAGAGCAATAGGTGAATATAGACCCTTTGCTTTCATTGCTTTCATTACTTGTCACCTCTTTAAAATGTTATCATGTTTCCTTGGACATATTATCAAATGTTTGTCCTGCTGGAAATCATAGCACTGAAATGCAGGAACCAAAATCTGATTCCTTGAGGTTGTGAAGAACCTGTGGCTTGATGCATTAGTTGAAAGTATTTGCTTCTAGTAAGATTTCTTAATGCTACTATGCTAATATGAGAAAGGGATGGCTCATCTATGAGTTTGAAGGCAAAATTATTAAATATTAAATTAAGCCTGCATTGCACTACAAAGGTAAGCTGAAATCATAACACTGGACATGTTGTTTAATACAGGAAGCTGTTACACTTCTTATGATTTAGTTAGCCAGGTTCAATTAAGCCAGGCTTAATTAATTGAATTACATTGATTCGGATACTGTGTCTCCAGTACCCAGTGTCACTCGTATATTGGTGACTGAAAGCAAGTTGCTTGTGAAAAAAACAAAAACCTCACAATCTCTAAAGATGCCTGCTATAAATATGGATGAAATGTCAGAAGAGAATGCTTCTGGAACATGGCCATGCAGCCCGGAAAACTCACAGCAACCCAATTCTGTACTTTCAGCCAGACTTATGGGGGTGGACATTATGGCCTCAGAGCTGCTGATGTACAATATAGTTCCATGTATTTGCCTTAGTTGAAACACTGAGCTCACTGCTATTCTCTGAACAGTTGCAGCCTCCAGAAGCATCTGACATCCGAATACTACGAGGTCATCAACTGCCCATCACCTGTCTAGTCATCTCGCCAGATGATACATGTATTTTTTCTGCAGCCAAAGACTGCTCCGTCATCAAATGTGAGTCCCTTCTGTAAAGGAGAGAGTGCCAAGGCATGGAAGAGTCCAGAGAGTGAGCTTTGTAAATGTAATAGATTTTGTCCATAGAAGTGGCAAGTTCACTGTGGATTAAGTAGGATTGCTGCCGCTAAAGGCTGAAGTTACAGTTTCCTTGTGAATACTGATAATGTGAAGAAACTAATTCCTAGCATGCTAACAAAATATTGAGGAACCAGAGTATGGATCTTCGTTATATGTCTTTCCTTTATTATCTGGTCCATCCTGTGAAGTTTTCTGATGTGTTCTTTACAGGTAGATTTGGCATATGGAAATCTTCTATTTCTACAGAATGACACTGGTTCGGCATAGCATCTAAAGCAACACACATTCCTTCTAGTTGCCTGCTAATATGACATATGCCTTTCTTGCTATCCTCCTCTGCCTATTTTGAAGTAGTTGATGTCAAAACTCGGGTGCTAAGCTCATTACCAGCAAATAAAAGAAGACACTTTGAGCATCTTAACTCAGAATTATTATGATTTGCAGCAGCCTTCCTCAAACAATGAGAGAGCCATAGCTCTGCTTTTTCAGACTGTATACTGATTACAGAATTAAAATGCCACAGATGATAAAGAGTGAGCTATTAGACTCTTGGATCACAGAGCAACAGCTCTTCACTTGTGGATTCTGTTTTAGCACATTAGACAGATATTATGCCAGGGATCTATTACAGGATTTTCCCTATAACACAATTTTGGCATAGTCTGGAATACTATTTTTCTTACCTGATATGAACAGTGGGTTTGGGCTTCCAGTACAAGCATACCATAGAATTGCTTTGAGCTATCTAGAAAATGGCTAGAGAATTGCTTTCTCTAGGCCTCCAGTGTGATTCTATGGTCAACTTCTGGTGCAACGTCTAACATAACCTTTGGTGTCTTAGAATCATGCTGGAGGCTTAGGCTGAATCTACACTGCCCTATATTCCAGGATCTGATTTCAGATTATCTGTTTGTCCCAGTTTAACTGGCAGTGTATACTCATAAACCTCAATTGAAAGCAGATAATCTGGGATCTGATCCTGGGGCAGTGTAGATCCAGCCTTAGAGGAATTTTCTAGGTTCCTTGGAGAAGTTCTGTGGTTTTCAAAGTTCTTGCCTTATAAATGAAACTACATTCAACTAATTCACATAACAAGTGGGCCTACTGCATGTTTCAGTTGATTTTGTTCATGTCTGGCTTAGATTTGAAGAAAGACATTATGAATGGACATAAGCTTATTTTGAGCTCTGGATAGCACATTGACAACTTTTAAAAAATAAAGTTTGTCCTCTGAGTACTGTGTGTAGTAATAGTTTAAAACACCTATAAGATCTGTGCAACGATAGTTTGTGTTATCCAGAAGAATATGGCTGTTGCACTCTAAATGTTTTGAAGCACTGTCTGTAAAAATTCCACATTGGAAAAGCATGAGATAACAAAGCATCCCTGCATTCATAAAGCAACTGACTTTGCTTTACTTCAGCAAAACATATTTACTCAGTTCACGTAGTTGGCACTAAAGCAGGCATGAGCAAACTTCGGCCCTCCAGGTGTTTCAGACTTCAATTGCTAGGAATGGTGGGAGTTGAAGTCCAAAACACCTGGAGGGTGCCTTCACTAGAGTATATTGGAGTGTTGATAGCATTTTGAGGAATGAGTAAACAACATCACTCTTTGTGGCTAAAAGTAGCCAAGTTGGATTCTGCTGTGTTCTGCGACCACTGAAATACAATATGATAATGATTCTGTAATTTGGTAAGGCAACTCCAAAAGATAATGTATGCCAAAACTAATCTTTCTGGTAATTATAATTATTGTATAATTGTAAATATATCAGGATAATTACAAGTACTCTATATACTCGAGTATAAGCCTAGTTTTTCAGCCCTTTTTTAGGCTGAAAAAGTCCCCCTCAGCTTATACTTATATATTTATTATTTTCCTCTGTTATTATTTTTATTACATTTACAATTTTACTCTATTATTATTATTACATTTATTATTTTATTCTATTTATTGTTATTACATTTATTATTTTACTCTCTTTATTATTATTAGAAGGATACATAAGCACATTTACATTGAAGAAGGTTAGAATAATGGTGTAATCGGAGTTGGGCACTGGCAGTCTTATCTTAAATTACAGTTTTATGTAAATATCTAATCTACTGATGCCTCAATTAATGTAATTTTATTGGTATCTATTTTTATTTTGAAATTTACCAGTAGATGCTGCATTTCCCATCCTCGGCTTATACTCAAGTCAATAGGTTTTGCTAGTTTTTTTTGTGATAAAATTAGGTGCCTCGGCTTATATTCGGGTAGGCTTATACTCGAATATATATGGCAGTTTACTCAGTTCTAGCTCCTTAGAGAGATGATAAAGCAATGTGAATCATGGTGGCATAGTCAGTAAAATAGGATATGACACTGAACGTATTCAAAGTTGAAGTAACTTAGATATAATTGTATTTTAGGGGATGTGGAGAGTGGGAAGAAGCTGCATGTGATTCATGGAGGAAAAAAGGGGGCAGAAAACAGTCATGTTTGCCACACAGCACACATTCTGTGCATGGCCATATCATCAGATGGCAAATACCTGGTAAGTGAACCCCTCAACTGTCCCATTTAGTCTGTTTGAGCAATTCACTGTCTAGGATAAAGATCTACTTCACACAGTGGGTCCTTGGAATCTGCTGGTATTTGGTTCTAGGACTCCCTGTGGAGAGCAAAATCCTTGGATGTTCAAGTCCCATTGTATATAATGCATTATAAAATGCCATCCCTTATATTAAATGGCAAAATCAGATTTGCTTTTTGGAATTTATTTGGGGGAGGGGAGAAATTTTCACGCTGTTGAATCAATTGGTGAAAACTCTGTGAATACAGAGGGCCAACTCTACCATTGGTTACTGATCAACCTTTGCATTACTGACAGTGTCATTCGTATATGTCATGAGCATCTGCAGTCTTGGGCTATTTTCCCTTGCACAGATTCATAAAGTTTCTTGATTGCTGTCATTAGGTGCCATAAGTACACTATCCAGGTTGAGACACATAATGGTGTTGTTATTGTTTGGCTCTGGGTGGAGTCAGTTTGTGTAAATTGTCACTGATAATATACTTCTCAATTGGATACCTTTTTATTGTTAGCAAGAGAACTGTCTGTTTTTGCAATACTACTGAAGGTTCTAGGTATTGCCATGAATATCTTGCCTTGTCTTTCTCTGCTAGGCAACGGGAGATAGAAATAAGCTCATTATGATCTGGGAAGCTGCCACATGCAATCACCTCTACAAATTCACAGGCCACCGGGATGCTGTGTCGGTGAGTGAATTTCACAGCTTGGAAGCAGAGTCAAAATAACATAGGCACATGCAGTATTTAGGTATGGTTTTAATAAGTTTGGGTTACAGCTAATGCAGTGGTTCCCAACCTGTGGGTCCCCAGGTATTTTGGCCTACAGTTCCCAGAAATATCAGCCAATTTACCAGCTTTTAGGATTTCTGAGAGTTGAAGGCCAAAACATCTGGAGACCCACAGGTTGAGAACCACTGATTTAATGCTATGTCCTAACATGCAGAGGAATTATATGAATGAAGAATTTCACAAGAATCTAGAGAGCAGAGCTTGTAGGAATAATCTGCACTCTTCAAAGAGGGTTAAGACACCTCCTTTTGGGCAAGAAAAACCATCATATTTATTAGCTGTTATTATTTTCTACACTTTGGTGCATTTTCTGTTGTGAACTTCTTTGAACTATCATAGGAAAGGTGGGATACAAATTATACATCTAGTGAGTGATTATTATATTGATACAATAATGTATTTTATAGAAACAGTCTGAGACATTTTACTTGACTAACTCATTATAATATTGAATATGCCTTTAGCTTATTTAAAGTATTTAAAACTATTTAACTTTTAATGGTTTAAATAAGCTAAAGGCATATTCAATACTATAATGAGTTAGTCAAGTAAAATGTCTCAGACTGTTTCTATAAAACTATTTAACTTTTAATATTAAGGCCCCCCAGGTGGCGCAGCGGGTTAAACTGCTGGGCTGCTGAAGTTGCTGACCAAAAGGTTGGTGGTTCGAATCCAGGGAGCGGGGTGAGCTCCCGCTGTTAGACCCAGCTTCTGCCAAAGTAGCAGTTCGAAAACATGCAAATGTAAGTAGATCCCAGAGCTGGAAGGTAACAGTGCTCCATGCAGTCTCGCCAACTATATGACCTTGGAGGTGTCTGTGGACAACGCCGGCTCTTCAGATTAGAAAAGGAGATGTGCACCACCCCCCAGAGTCAGACACAACTAGATTTAATATCAGAGGAAACCTTTATCTTTATGTTAACTTTTAATGCTGTTTGTAAATTGTCCTGAGATCTTTGGATATTTTGAGTATAAATATGGTAACCATAATAAACACAACTTCTACTTGTGGACACATTTTGATCAACTGAAAATTGGAAAGTGAGTGGAATAATACTGATAATTCAAAATAAGGATCTGAAAGGACTTCAGTGTACTTTAAAAAAAAATCCATGGCAATCTGAACAGGCACCCGTAGGTTGTAGCTGTAGTTCATTTTATAGTATTGAGATCTCTCCACTTGGAAGATGAGGTTTGAATTAAAGTGGTTATTACTACTAACTGGTTTGGCTCCCCTTTATGCCACTGATCCTTTTCCCCTCCTTGCTCCTTTTCTCTCACTCAGGCATTGTCTTTCCGGAAGGGCACGCACCAGCTGTACAGTGCTTCACATGACCGTTCAGTCAAAGTGTGGAATGTAGCAGAGAATGCCTATGTGGAAACCCTGTAAGTAATATGTTTTTGTGAGGTGGGGCATTAAAGCTGAGAAGTAGATGTGGCACAAAAACTCCCATTAGTAGGCTAATATAAAGCTCTGCTATTTTTGGGTGTAAGGGTTTGGTTCTTCATTAGGTGCACAGCCAGCAGTAAGATTGGTCAGTGGTACAGCTCCATTGCTCAGCTACTAATTGACTACAGAGGTGTACCTAACCATATTTTCAATGGTCCTGTATGTCTAGAAAAGAAGGAGAAGGCCAGAAAAATCCTGCTCCTTTCCCCTTAGCTGCTCAACTACAGTAATTGGGATGCTCTTGCTTAGTGGCCTTGGAGACATAGCTGCATCTGCTTCCTGGCTGCTGTTGCACATTAACCTAGGAGATACTGGGTACCTTCTTCTACCCAGAGTATGTAGACTGGGGTAATTAGAAAGTGGCAGGATTCTAGCTGAAAAATCACATCACTCTCTTCAGATAATAAAAGAGATATAGAGAGCAGGCTGGAAGTTGGCCTATGTGATTTGTTGACATGGTGACTCCTCTACACTATTTTTATTCTCTCAAAATAAGTGAATAAGCCACATTCACATACTGTACAGTTGAATCCCTACCTTTTCTTCTCTCCTTCCCTCTTCAGGTTCGGGCATCAGGATGTAATCACAGGACTGGACAGCCTGAGCCGGGAATGTTGTGTCACGTCAGGAGGGAGGGATGGCACAGTCAGGGTTTGGAAAATCCCTGAGGAATCACAGCTTGTGTTTTATGGGCATCAGTGAGTAAGAATAGTAATATCTTCAAACAATTCTATAATTTGTTATATATGTGACAGGAAGCAAAGGTCAAACAACAAATGTTGTTGCAGCTGCACTATCATCCAAAGTGAAATCTGTCTACAGTGGGGTCTCTGGAAATAGCTCATGGGTGTAGACTGGAGATTTTTCCTGCATTTATTGCTCAGATTATGTTTAGATCCTCCACTGTAATAGGTATGCTTTCCCTTTCTGCAGTGAGAAAGGGATCGAGAGATTCCCTGGTGATCCTTCAACTCTCACAGTGGAGGAAAAGGATGAGTAATTTTCAGGACCTTCTAGTTCCTTCCTCCCACTGCACCCACTTTCATGCACATTGCCACATCTCCTTTGGGGATTGAGGAATCCACCTGAATGTTTTGAGTTTCTGGCATGAGGTAGTATTGGGCACATTTGCCTGGGAAGCAAGACAATTGAATGGGAGACCTGGACGCTGGATTCTTCCTAACATGTGTCATAGTGCATGCCAGATTCTTGATTATTATTATTATTTTAAAAAAAGAGTAATCTAAGATTTAGATTTGTAAAGTGAGCTCCTGACTGGCAAGCTGGAACATTTACCAAACAAGGTTACAAAAATGATCAGAGGTCTGGAAACAGCCTTAATAAGAAATGACTTAAGGAATTGAGTGTGCTTCGTTTGGAGAAGAGAGTGTGATAGCTATCTTGAGATAATGGAAAGGGTATCATGTAGAAGGTGGAGCAAGTTTGTTTTCTGCTGCTCCAGAGATTAAAATTAGAACTAGTGAAATCAAATGACAAGAAAAGAGATTCTACTTGAACAGTAGCAAGAATTTATTTACTGTAAGAACTGTTTAGCAGTGTACTCTCCATCTTTGGAAGTCTTATTTCAGGAGTGCTTTAGTTTTCTATTCCTGTGTGACAGATTTGGATTAGATGGTCTTTGTGTCCCTTCCAGTTCTTAGATTCCATGATTGTGATGTTTAATTAGTATATTATCTGAGATAGCAACCTGCATGAAATTGCCATTCTAGGATCACTCCTGGACATGAAAATGCCATCCCATGGAGGCAGATCTGGCAGAGCAGCTTGGATGTTGAAGAGTGGCATTCTTAGGCTGAGTGAGATGGAGGATGATACTAATGTGGAATGTCGTGGTGGGGAGTTGTTCCCCATGCGTTATACCATGAAACATTTTCTTTTGAGACCTTTCACTATTTGCCTATTTATTTAGTCACCTTTACTTATACTTAATTATTTGATTAATGCTTCACTTTTCTCCCAATATGGGACCCAAGACAGCTTACAATAGAGTGCAGCTAAGAACATAGTGATAGAAAGTGAACAAAACATCCTGCTGAAGCACTTTTAACTTACAGAGAGTGAGCATACTATAGTGCTTTTGGATGATGACTCTGGAGACCAGGGCTCAAATCCCCACTTAACAGCGGAAGCCAACTAGAAAGTCACACTTTCTCATCCTGAGAAAAAGGCAGAGCCTATGTGAACAAACATTGCTAAGAAAACTGCTATAGTTTTGCCTTCATGTGTTCGAAACAAGTTGAAGGCACACAACAACAACTTAAGATAGCATGTATGGATAAAAGTATAAAACAATTTGTTACATCACATTATGCCCTGACAGTTTCTTTCCTATTTAAATGAAAAGGCCTTTGCATGGGCACCAGTGATAATGAGTGCAGAAATGTATTATTTTCCATAAAGATGGAGTCTGACATTTGTTCTTTCCATGTGTTTTGCCAACTAGCTTAAGTTTTGATTTCCCTAGGCTGTATGTCTGGCAGTGCACTTCTTTCTATTGAGCACTAGGAGCCTGAAGTCTTCAAGTTTCTGCAGCATGTTGTTGAAAACCCAATAATGTTTTTTTTTCTTTTCTTTTGGATTAGGGGATCTATTGATTGTATTCAGCTGATCAATGAGGAGCATATGGTGTCTGGTGCAGACGATGGGTAAGTACCAGCTGAAGTTTTGATCTTGTAGAATTACTGTGACTCTTTCATGTCGTGTAATTTGTTGATTTGCTCTTCTTAAGGTCAGTAGCCCTGTGGGGCCTTTCAAAAAAGAAACCTCTGTTCGTGGTCAGAAAAGCCCATGGTCTCCAGGGCACCCAGGGCCTAGAACAGCCATATTGGATTTCTTCTGTTGCTGCCTTGCTGAACAGTGATCTCGTCGCCACAGGTGCCTCATATTGCGGTATCATTGCTGGGTTTTTTTCTGTTGCCTTGAAGGTTGCAAAGGGAGGGTTGTTTCTTCTTAAGTCTGTTCAGGATCATGCTTAGTTCATTCCCATGGCAGGGTTAACAGATAGCCAAGGCTTTGGATTGCTTTAGTAGTTCTGATAGCCGGTCTAAGATTATGCAGGTATCCTCCTGGTTCTCCAGAGGATGTTGTGTTTATCAGATATCCAGCCATCAGAACATCGCTGGGCGATTCTCAGCTGATCTCCAACCTCTCCCAAACACTGCATGGCCATATCAGGGAAAGAGGAGACAAGAAAACAGTGAGCCTCTCAGGAAGCGGGAGGTAGTGGCAGATATGGAGGTAAAACTCCTCCAAGGATCTTAGACTATGGTTTCTTGTTGAGGTTACATTTATTTATCATGTCAGAAGCGAGTTGAGGGTACAGTTAAAATGCGTTTTAAAACACAAACAAAGTTTTAAAAAGAACTTGGCATTATGTTAAATATCCATTGACCAGAAGCTGGCCTCTTGGAGTATAATGCTAAGTTTTTTAACTCTGTTTGTGTTTTTAAACACATGATAACGGCACCCTCAATTCGCTTCTGACACAAAAAATAAACAGTGACACCATTGATGGTGCAGATCAGTATAAGCAGGCTAAATAATCTTTTGCTACAAAGGGATACACTTCTCAAGATGTTAATATGGCTCATTTGGTACCTAGTATTTAGAATGGCAGAACCGGATTGAGACCCAAAGCAGCTTACAACCTTAAAAAAAAGACAGTTTTAAAACCTGCACAATATAAATATTAAAATAATTCAATTAAAGTCTCATTAAGCAAATAAGTAAAAACTGTTGCAAACAATTCCTTTAGTCTGCAGCAATATCACCAGCACAACTGAAATGACTGGCATGTGGTGGCACTTCACCTTGTTTACAGGGATAATTGCTACTGCTAGAAACTTCCAGAACACCTCCCCCACCACTCCAAAATGAAAAAAAATGTCATGAATGTTTTTTCTGGCTGCTGGGGAGATTGTGATAAATCTAGTAGCTGCAAAGGTTCATTCTTACTCACTTAATTAGTACAGATATCTTCTGGATCCTCTGGACATGCATAAGATTTCCAGCTGGCAACTTTATTAAGAACTAGAGTCTTGAAAGATATTCTGCAACTAATAAACCCATTCATGTTAGTCTATGTGAGGGGAAAACAGCAGGAAAAATCAAGGTATAGCAAATCTGATTTGACCATAAGCTGGAAATAAGGTTAAAATAATTATCTTTATTAACTCAATTAGTCGGGGTTGAGAAACGCCCAGAACTCATTTGTCATAGGAAATGATCTATGTCGCTTAAAATGCTGGATGTGAAAGGGAGGTCTCACATGTTGTGTTTTTGGCAGGTTCCAATAATTCCAGTGTGAAGTTATGGAAGTGCGGAGAAGGATTCCGCAAGTTGGAGCCACTCTTTGAAATTCCCTTGGTGAGAAGAAAAAAAAATTCTGGGCAAAGGACCTTAGCTTCTTATCTTAAGGAGATTTGGGGTAGTGGTCTGCAGTAAATAAAGCTAAGTGCTGCATGAGCCAAAGAATAGCGGTGATTTGCTTTTGATCACCCAGAGACTCACCTGTACAGACGTCACCTGGTTTACTAACCCTTGGGTGTTTTGATCAAGACCTTCTCCCAGCCCCATCTCCACTCTGCTTGCCTTGCTACTGTTGGACCCCGCAACCCCACACTGCTAAAGTCTGCAGTCCTCAATGAGGAACAGTTTTGTTAGTTTAGAATAGTTTGTGGGTTTCCCTTCCCCCATGTCTCCTGAATTACAGCTGGGAATGTATCTGTTTCTTCTCTCTGTTTCTGCTCTTGTTCTGATTGGTTGGGTAGAATGGATACTCTTCTACTTCAAGCCTTTACTTTGACTTTAGTTTTTCATCTTTGCATGTGCTGTGTGCTTTGAGATCTCTCTCTGCATGTGTGTCAGAGAGATGTAGTGATTGGTGTTTTTTCCCTCTTTGAAACTTTAGAAGAGATGGGTGTTACAGTAGTGCAGACCCAGTTCTTGATTATTAAGAAATGCAGTTATTTCTTGTTATTGTGATTTTTAAGATTTGATCCTGTATCTTTGCCTGCCTAAGCTCTAAATTCTTTGCAATCATATCACACGGCATGTCATGCTTTGTTAGCTGTGAGCAGTTGCACAACTTTTGTATCCTGTTGGTTTTTCGGATTCTCTGCTATATTTTAGGGTAGTTTTCCCTAACAGCTACATAGAAATAACAGTTCCAACTTTCCTTGCAGAGTTGTTAAAAGACTTACTGAGAAATTATGTATGAAATACCTTGAATTCCTCAAGGTGCTATGTAAATGCTTATTTTTATGCTGCTGAGTTTTATTTCCTGAAAGAAGCTCATGAATGCTAGATCAACTGTGTTAAGTCCCAATGTACCCTGTTGTGTAGTTATGTTAGCTTCCAATGATATGAGATAATATGCACATTTTGTTCTACATTGTAAAGTTCCTCTTAATTATCCAGGATCCAATAATTTGAACTTAATGGTACTTTTCTGACATCAACCGAATTGTACTTTCGTAATGCCTCCCATTGATACTGGGGCAGGGGCTTCGTTGTAAGAGCTCTTGGGTCTAAACTTCAACAGAAAGGGCTACTTAGAAACAATGAGCAGATCTGAGGTTTGAAACTGAGGACTGGCTTGTATTGTATAAAGCGGGGAGGTGGGATCAGGGTTAGACTGATCAAGGATGTAAATAAAAGGGGAAAAATAAAATGATAGTAGTAGTGTTGCTGTAATTGATGGATCAAATATCTGTGATAGCATAATGTGTAGAGGGGAGATTTGTAATCTGTGGCAACTAAAACAACAGTCTTGTGGTTAAGACTTCAGAAGATTATAGGTAATAAATCTGCTGGTCTTTAATGTGCTACAGGAATTTTTGTTGGAATATGTACAGTGCCTTTGGACATATCAGGCAGCCCATAATCCAGATGGGTTGCTGATTTATTTGCTGATTCTGCTTTTGTGTATAGACTTCTTACATTTATGCTGTTGCTAAAAAGTATCAGCAACATAACACAATATAGGGACCATTGTAGCAAACCATTGAATCAATTAGTATCTAGATAAGGCAAACAGATGTCCAAATCCTGATGCTTAATATAGTGTTGCATTTCTTTATCAGGTTGGCTTTGTCAATAGCTTGAAATTCTCAAATTCCGGAAACTTCCTTGTGGCAGGAATTGGACAAGAACACAGGTATTTAGTCTTGCTGAAGTATTTTATTATATGATCATGGTCTCCAATTGCATTAGTGCTGTGTATATATTTCCTGTCAGATAAACAAATGTAAAATGCTTTAAATGCATTGTTTTCCCCAAACTTCAGCTGTGAGGCATGGTTTGTGCCCTCCAGCTCACGTCTTAGTGTCCTCATGGAATCTGATAGCATTTGAAGTGTAACTATAATAAGTGATGCTTATTTATTTTACTTTATGGGGAAAAACACACTTGGCTTACCTCTCTAGATTTGTCTGATCATCAGAGAAACATCTACAAAGATGACTTTTTAACTGTAGGAGTAAATTACAATGAAATCTAGACTCACTTTAAAAAATCTATCTCAGTTGTGGGAGAAAGGTGCCCTTATGGGTAAAGAGATGTATTATGTATGAACTAAAATGCCATCAATTCAGCTTTTTATTCTTGGGACAGAGCACTGAATTGTGTGCTGGGAATGTGTATGGAAAAAATATCTCTCCAGTACCGGTTTTCAATTCCATCTTTGTCAGCAGGGAGCTTGGCAAATATATTTGTGCTGGCTTTACTCACTTTGATGCCATGTTTGTTTCCTGTCAGTAACAGATTGAATGTATGCAGGTGAAAAGACTGGAGGTTAAACTAGGCAAGAGAGAGGTGCTCTTTATTAGTTGAAAGGCGGATCAGGGAAGAGGGATTCAGCCTGTGCTGGATATGGTTACACTCAGCCTGAAATGCCAGGTTTCAGTGGAGGCCCAAAGTGTGTTAGCGCTGTTCACGCTTTCCTGGAAATGTTAGATCTAGCCACAATGGCTTGTGTCTTGTTCACATTCTGTTTGGATTATATAATTCATTGCCTTTGGAAACTTTAGTGAGAATCCTGTAGCCAGACTGTTGACCAGGGTCAGTGACAGGGAAATATAACTCCTCTCTTGCAAAAACTTTATTGGCTGCTGCATGTCTGTTTCCAGACAGAGTCATGCCCTGCTTATCTGACAGATTAGGAACCAGAGCACTGTCATTAAGAAATCGTCAAATGTGGAACCTAGTATTTTAAAATATGAATTGAGAGAGAAAAAACATCTAGTTGTAGAAGTGGAATCATGACAAAAAGATCAGAAGAGCAGACCAAACTTTGAGTGTGTATTTTAGTTATAATTGAAAGAGCAGATCGTCTACAAGCAGACAGATGAAAAGTGTGGGATGTCTGTCTATTTCAAGCTGTTGGTTATGACTTACAAAACTCTATACAACTTGGGTTCAAAATGACTGAAATATTGTATCACCGAATGTGAACTTGCCCAAATTTGAAGATCTCTTGTGGAATGCTTTCTTTCACTCCTAGTAATATCATAGGCACAAGTGGTGAGGACATCTGCTTCTTATTTTTATTTCTTATTTCTTGCATATTAATCTTTTGTGCCTTCCATTGTCTTCACTGAATTTGATTTAGTCTAAATTATAAGCTGCCTAAAGTCTCCCACTGAGAGAAAGGCAGGATATAAAACACATAAATACATTGAAACATGTACATAGAGGTTCTGACAAGTGTGCTTCCACTCTGTGGCTTCATGTTCAGAGTTACTAAATGACATTATAGAAGAGGAGTGTTTTTGTATCGCATCATTTATTTTATCTGGGCTGTATTACAGATTGGGCCGTTGGTGGAGGATCAAAGAAGCCAAGAATAGCATCTGTATTGTCCCACTTAAGAAGACCACAGCAGACAACACACAGACACCCAGTGAAGACTCCTAATGTTAGATGTCTCTGCAAATACTTTTTGTAAAAGACCCGTGTGGATGAAATCTGTATATTAAAACGACCATTATTATTTGTAAACTGGAAGTGGCGTTTCCCTTAATTAAAATGATCAAGGGTCTGGAGAACAAGCTCTGTGAGGCGTGGCTTATAGAGTTGGGCATGTTTAGCCTGCAGAAGAGAAGACAGGGGAGACATGATAGCCATGTATAAATATGTGAGGGGAAGTCATAGGGAGGCAGAAACAAGCTTGTTTTCTGCTGCCCTGGAGACCAGGACACGGAGCAATGGCTTCAAACTACAGGAAAGGAGATTCCACCTGAACATTAATAATAATAATAATAAACTTTATTTATACCCCACCACCATCTCCCCAATGGGGACTCGGAGCAGCTTACATGAGGCCAAGCCCGAACAACAATTACAATAAAGAAAAACCAAAAACGCAAACTGAAAACGCGAACAATAACAACAACATCATAATTACATAAAACATGTGAATACATAACAATATAATATTACAATAAGCACAAACACAATGACAATGGGAGGGCTACATGTAATGATTAAAAGAAGAAATAATTAAAAACTAATTAAAAACTCAGGCGAGATAAAAGAGAAACAGATTATTTGTAGAGGAGGGCTCATTTCAGCAGGGGATGTGGAATCAAGCTTTCCCAAGGGGGGGGAGGGCGTATACTCCAATGACAGAACGTTAAGGCTGAGCAATAATGTAAAATTGTATACCTACTCACCGAAGGCGCAGCGGAAGAGCCAGGTTTTAAGGTTCTTTTTAAAGGTTTCTAGGGTAGGGGCTTTCCTAATTTCTCCAGGCAATGAGTTCCAGAGTCAGGGAGCTACAGCGGAAAAAGCTCTCTCCCTTAGGAAGAACTTCCTGGCTGTGAAAGCTGTTCAGCAGTTAAACTTTCTACCCAGAAGTGTGGTGGAGGATCCTCCTATGGAGGCTTTTAAACAGGCTGGATGCCCATCTGTTGGGAGTGCTTTGAATGCATATTTTCTGCTTCTTGGCAGGGGGTTGGACTGCATGGCTCATGAGGTCTCTTCCAATGCTGCAAATTGGGCAGGGTGGGGGAAATTGTTTGTAGTTCCTGATACAGGAACTTCTCTTATTTATTTATTTATTTTATGACATTTCTCCCGGACCTTTCTCCAACCCAAAGGGGACTCAAGGTGGCTTTGCAACCCGGCAAGCATTCAGTTATGTATGAAATGCCTTGAATACCTCAAGGTGCTATGTAAATGCTGGTGGTCTAGAGCACTGCTACTCTAAAGTAGTTGTCTGTGGATTAGTGCCAGTCTGCATGCTGTCAACCTCTGCTTCCTGGTTAGCTTCCGGGAAAGAAAGAATCAGTTGTAGTCAATAGATGCAGATATTGGTTCTAACCTGGCTGAGATCTTCCAATATCAGGCTACCTGACTATACCTTGGGTTCTAGGGAAAAGGTAGGATATACATTTAGTAGTAAGTAAATTAAGAAATGTTTTGTCGAAGGGTTTCATGGCCAGAATCACTGGGTTGCTGAGAATTTTCTGGGCTGTATGGGTATGTTCTAGAAGCATTCCCTCCTGAAGTTTCGCCCACATCTATAGCGGATATCCTCAGAGGTAGTGAGGTATATTGGAAACTAAACAAGGGAGGTTTATATCTGTGGAATGTCTGTGATGGGAGAAAGAACTCTTGTCTGTTGAAGGTAAGTGTGAATGTTGCAATTAATCACCTTGATAAGCATTGCAAATCCTTGCAGCTTCAAGGCCTGGCCGATTCCTGCCTGGGGGGAATCCTTTGTTGAGAGGTGTTAGCTGACCCTGATTGTTTTATGTCTGGAATTACCCTGTTTTCAGAGTGTTGTTCTATATAAACCGTTACACAATCTAGGAGTCCGTGAAGTATTGTCAAATAATGTCCAATATCTCACTGAGCTATAGATTTTTGGCAAGAATTTGAAAATATGATGATACGTACCTTGAGTCGACTATTAATGACTACAAAGATGATAATGTTTGAAACAGGAATAACTGTTTTGTTCTTTATAGCTCTTGTTTTTCATCTATCGTCCCCTTTTTCCAAAGTCCTTTTTCTCTACATCAAATCTCACTGAGAAGACATGCTGTATAGCTTGATTGTTCAGTCTAGAGTAGGTGAGATGTGTGCTTGCAAACCTCTTTAATCTCAGAAATCCTCAGTCATATTGGATTTGCCTCATCCCATTTATTATTTTTCTTCAGTCACCACTTGGAATTCACAGTGCAGTTATATGAATATGTATTTGGAAACAAGCCCCACACTGTTCAGTGGACCTTAGTCCCTATTAAGGTACCCAGTATTGCATTGTTAGTTTGTTTTGTACATACAAAAGGGAAAAAAATCTTATTGAAGCAAGGATATATAAGAATTGAGTAACCTCTTCACAACATGAGCCGCTATTTTTCTTGCTTTACTAGTTTAATAACCAGGAAACTATTTACTTTGTAGATGTGCCCACTCTGCATTGAAAATAGTTGAAATTTGCTAATGTATTCAAGTTTAGTCATTCCACTCTGAAGCATCTCTTTGAAATTATTTTTTGTTGAGATGTATAACTTTCTGGTTGGCATTCAAGTGCCTGGGAGACTGAAAGTCTTTCCTACCATTTTTTTTCTTTTAAATGCTGCTGTTTCTACTGGGTATCTTGTTAAATTGAGACTGATCTTACGACACAATAAAGATGCTTCAACATGAAAAGGACGACATCTTTGACATCGTAAGAGAAGATGTATTGCTGACGGTGTTATAGTCGCTCCGTGCTCTCAATTTCTTCTATTCTTTCAGTATCTTGTTGAAATAGTTCATCAGACTGTCCTTGTGAATATATCTAATCAGCTGCACATGTCAGGTAAAGATATGCATAGTGGGTGTTCTTGTCTCTTGAGGAAGCTGTTCCCAAAGGCAAATTTATGTTTGTAAATATTACTGTAATCTTTACTGAATCCCACTGTAAGGAAGGACAGAAGGGCAGGGCCATAACTTCCCAGCTCTGCCTATTCAGCCTGGAAACAACAAAACCCTCAGGCGGTGGACCGCCGAACCATAAATTTTTGATCAGAGATGAAAGATAGAAATTTACATGTATATATTCCTTCATTTTTTTTAATTTGGCCCCCATTAGACTGTATTCCAGAGTTATTTATAATGTATGATTTTGTAATTTCCTCAGTAATACTGTGGAGCATGGATGTGGAAATTGGTTTTGGTTGCATTGCATTTCTCTGAATCCTGTCTGCATTTGCTGAATCTCCTTGCTTTGCAATTGTTTGTGACACCTTGTTTTTGCTTTATATGCTTTTGTGCAAGTTTTCTTTTATTTGTGCAATTTGACAACAACAACAATAATAATAGCCTTAGACGCTTGGGAAGTGTTTGACTTGTGATTTTGTGATACGAAATCCAGCATACATATCTCATTTGCTGTGACATACTGTGTTTTTGTGTCAGTAAAATAATAATATTAATAATAACAATCTTTATTTGTATCCCACCCCATCTTCCCGAGGGGACTTGGAGTGGCTTAACAACAATATGACAGTGCAAACAATATGGACAATAATAAACATATAACCAATTTGACATTAAATCAAATCAAACAAATAATAACAAAGCAAAAGCAATATAAAAGTAAAAACAAGAAATTAATATTTCTTGCTGCTTTCCAGGGAGATGAAGCCGGTGAGTATGTTTGTTTTACAAATCTCTTAATATGGATTTCTTTTCCAATTGTAGTCTTGAACACTAATGAAGGTGATATTGTGTGTGTGTCTGTGACTGTACTTTAGTATCTCTCTTTCTGAAGAGAGGGCTGTGTGTAAGACAAATTCCTTTTATAGAGTTCTCTAGAATTATGAATTACCTGAAGATTGCCTGAGAAATACAGTATCCTATGGAGGAATATGCTACTCACCAAGTGTGATCTAACACTTAAGTCTTTACAAATACCTGCCATTGTCTTCTGCCCCCCGCTCCCCCAAGCTTCTGCCAGGTATCTGGATAAATTTTCTAATTTTGCTCTAGAAAACAGCACAAATAAGAGGTAGGTCTTTCCCAGATGTTTACCAACGAGCAGTCTTCTGTGGGCTGAAGACAATACCTTTCTCTGTGATTGGGGTAGAACAGAATCCTCTTGAACATAAATCTCTCGGCTAATAGATCATTAGAGGCATGATGCAGTCTGCTTTGAGAACAGCTTTTGCAATGGGACTGAGGTTTCCTTGGTTAAGTCTGGATTCCTTTTTTTTTTTTTTGAAATCTCTGACCGCTCTTAATCCCAAAAAGTTCATATCACCATGACTTCAGTAATAAAAAAGCACTTTATTTACATAAATTACAAAAAACTCACAAACTTGTCCACACACAAAAAAAACTACTTTACACTCTTGGTTTGTTTTTTTGAACAATATGAATCACAATAACACTTTCTTTAATTCATATATAGCTCACATTCTCGTTTTTCAAACAGCATTCCTGTAGTAGCAGGAGCACTTTCTTCCTCTTACCTCCCTACCCATCCCCTTGTATTAACTGCGATACATTCTTCATCCCACCTGGTGTTGGGCAATTGGGCACTGTTAGTACCATGTTTGAATATGCTATCCTGGAGGCAAATAACACTATGTAACAAAATTTGAAAAAAAACGGTTCCTGGTTGAAAGTGTTATTTCCTGTTTGTGTGATACTTGCTTTGAAAGTAGTTGTTATACTCCAGAAACTTCATTTTTGTGGCTGCCACAAACTAGGCTGAATTGGTTGAGAGACTATGAGATATTCATTAAAAACTATAACAAAATGTGCTGCAGGTTTTTGCAGGTTAATAAACTTTTACCATGTTCTTATGATAGAACCAATTAGGAAATGACATTTATAACCCAGGAACAAAAATCATGTTACGTAGTGTAAGGGGTGTGGGTTACTGAGGTTAGAACATTTCATTGAGTGGTTTCCATGATGTATGTGTTGCCTTTACTGGCCTTTACGTCTTTTATTAATAGAAGTTCAACAATAAAAGTCCTGGGAAATGTGCTTTTCTTTGTAATGAGAGAAGAATCAGTCAATAGCATGTGTTCATTTTGTTTTTAGTCTGTCCTTCAATGTAAAATGCCTGCTCTTGAAGGCACTGAGCAATGCTAGGAGAAAAATTGGCAATCCCACATTTTACAGTAGTTTAAACAGCACTGAAAAGCTTTATTGAAATGTATTGTGAGTGCACCTTCAAGTCAATTTCTGTCATATGGTCACACTATCTTAGTGTTTTCTTGGCAAGATTTTTTTCAGAAGAGGTTTGCCATTTTTGGCTTCTAGCCTCTTCCCTGAACTTTAAAGAAAAGTGTTACATTTGCTGTTATATGTTTTTCTCAGAGCGGTGCAGTCATTGAAATAAACGCCTCTGTCTAGAACTTTAATTCTGGTGCCCTGTAATATTGCGTCATACAAGGAGCGTTCATTAAAGATTTCCTCTGACCCACTTCTATTTATCACAGGACACTGAAACTGCACATGTGTAATGATATAAGTCTGTATAGGTTACGTGCCAATTTACAACTCAGAACTGATAACAGTCTTGACTTTACAGGTCCTGAAGTGGTGTGAGGTTTGCTAATGGTCCCAGTGGAAGACAGAGCAGTCATCAAGTTCCTTTACTTGAAAGGCAACACACCAAAGGAGATGTTCGATGAGATGAAAGAGGCTTATGGCGATGATTCCCCATCATATGATGTAGCCATATGGCATCATCAGTTCAACTGTAGTCAGACTTAGGTGCAAACATCTCCAATTCTAGGGTGACCCCATTCTGCTATGGATGAACACACCATCCAACAAGTGGAGGTCACCATTTTGGAAAATCAACATGTAACAATTTCTCACCTAGCCCAAAATGTCAAGATTAGTGTGGGTTCCATGTAAAAAATAATCCAAAACCATCTTCACATGCATCAGGTCCCCCGCTGCTCACACCTTTCCAGAAGCAGGAACGAATCGAATGCTCTCAGGCTGTATTGACGATGTGCCATGGAAATCAGGAGGACTTTGTCAACAGACTGATCAAACAGGATGAAAGCTGGGCCCATCACTATGGTCCAGAGACTAGAGTCCAGCCGATGAATGGAAGCATCATGACTCTCAGCTGCTCTCGGCAGGCAAGATCATGATCACAGTATTTTGGAAATCAGGAGGACTTTTTCAACAGACTGATCACACAGGGTGAAAGCTGGGTCCATCACTATGGCCTGGAGACTATAGTCCAGTCGGTGCAATGGAAGCATCATGACTCACAGCCTCCCCTTGGCAGACAAGGTCATGCTCACAGTTTTTTGGGACCAACATGGAGTAGTATTGATGGATTTTATAGCAAAGGGGCATTCTATTCTTCATTGCTGCAGAAATTGAGGAAGGCCATCAAAGCGAAGAGATATGACATGCTCACCAAAGATGTCCGCCTTCAGCAAGACAATACACCAGTTCACAACTCACATGTTGCCCAAATGGAAGCATGCTCCTGTGGCTTTGAAATTCTACCGCATCCCCCTTATTCACCCAACCTCGCACCATCAGACTTCCTCCTCTTTCCGACAATGAAGTTATTTTTGAAGGGCAAGAATTTTTCAGATGATGAAACTCTGATTTCTGACTTTCTGACATGGCTTTTGGGGCAACCTGTTGACTTCTACAAGTGAGGTGTTTACAGTTGCTTAAAAAGATAGGAGAAAGTGTGTGTTCCTAGGTGGCACCTATGTAGAGAAGGACTAATAACAGGGTCAAGTTTCATTGCTCTCAGTCCACAGGAAGTGGGTCAAGGGAAATCTTTAATGAACACCCCTCGTACTAGAGATATGGTACTGAATTGGTATCTAAAATTCTGGTTCAGAAAAAAAGATCAGTCAATGCATTATTAAGAACCCATGAGCGTTAGGCCGATTGATGTATTAATGAGAGATTCTTGCAAATTCCATTTCTACAGCATGGGGGAAAGATTCACCTGTCTTCATCCTGCTACTGTGTTCAGAGTCATGAGATGTGGTACAATAGTTCATATAGGTTGTCAATATGGATGACAGGTGAGGCAGATGCACGTTATATTGTAAGTGCCTCAAGTTGTCACGAAATTGTGGAAGAAATCTAAAATGGACATGCCATAGGTTTACTGTTCTGTTTTTAAAAAGTGGCACTGACACAACATTTGTAATGTTACCTATTAAGTATTGCTTTAAAAAAACACTTCTACTGTAACTCTTCATAACACGTTGCTTGGTTCAAACACTTAAATGAATACACAGGAAATACTGCAATTTGCGAATGCCTTTTAGACAACCAAGTCCCTGTTTTCAGTGTCATCATCACTTTGAATACCGCAGATGCCATTCTATTGCAGGTCCAATCAGGAAGATGATACTTGTTGTATTTGTAGAGGGGGGATTATCATTCAGCCTTTGAGTCAGTTAATTTTGACTTTTTAAAAAATTGAAACAATCCCATCACTTGAAATATCAATCCTCCTGGGATTGTGAGGTAGCTTCACCTTCCCCCACAAGCTTTAGGGAGAACTGTTTGTCCCCGAGGCAAGAATGAGGCCAAGAGTTTGTACACAGGGGCACACCTTCCTGGGTTTGGAAACCATGCAGTGCAGAATGCTTCTATAAATTGATTTTTCCCTCAAAGAAGTAAAATTGTGCTTCTGACATTTTCATTTAACTTCCCTTATGATGAGTTACTAAGGCCTTGAAATATTCCCTACTCCATCCATGCTCTTTGGTTTTTCCCTGAACAAATTTGCTAATCACATAGCACAATAATAGCAAGTATGCCATTCCTGGTCCCGTCCCCCCCCCCCCCCCCCCCCCCCCGTCTCCCCCAATAGAGAGAATTACATGGGAAATTTCATTTTTCTCATCTGCTAGAGAACAAGTATTCCATTCACAGAGAAGAACTTCCTTCCAAGTGATTGTCGAGCATCAGAGTTGAACTGAGATTATACTGCAAAAATAGCACTAGGTTTCAAAACCTTTGATTGACGGCATCTCCATTGCCATTTCCTCACTTTTGTGGCCCTTCTGCAAAAGAGAATCTAGGCTCAGTATTTTTAGCATAAGTGGAGCAAACACTGTGGTATGTAAAGCCTTTTTGTGGACAGCAGAGCGATCAGGCCAAGTAGCAGTCGGAACCTCTGATCCCTTATGGACCCAACAGTTCGTCCTGATTTATGCTGCCATCCTGATTTTAATTTGGTGCGAATCCTAGGCAAAGAAGTTGTAACCTACATTGCCCTGCTATGATGCAAAGTAGCCAGTGCTCATGCATTCCTTATTCATCTTGCTTTCACTTTGAAACCTGTTGGTAAACTGCAACATATTGTCAATCTGAGGCACCAAAGCAGGCACCTTTATCCAGAGCTTGTACTACAATTTCTACTATGAGTTAGGCTAAGATTTCTGAGAGTTGCAATCCAGCATGTCTGCAGGGCTGTATGAGTCCCATCCTTGGTTTGGTGCTTGAGACTGGCAGTACAGTGTGGTTTATCTAGAAAGTACACTTTATAGCAGCTGCCTATAGTAGACAATAACATGACTATTAACACTGAAAAAATGAGTCTTCATCAAACAGCACCATGTATATTCAAGCCTATCAAATTTCCAGCACTATTATAACACAAGGGTCTGGTGGCCAGTGTTACAGACCAGAGAATGTTCTGTTGCCAACTTCTTGGCCTGGGCATATAACTTTAAAAGGATATAATTTAACCTAATATTATCTACTAAAGGCAGTTAATTCCCCACATGTGTGCCAGTAGAAAACTGACTACAGTACACATCAGGCAGGGAACAATGCCAGATGCCCTGAAATGTAAACAACTGCACCCAAGAGAGGTATGCAGGCACTAGCCTGACCCTCCTTGTAGATAGACTACTTATAATTTCTATGAAACCCTAAGGTAAATGAACATGGGCAATGGGCCCATCTGATGTAGTTTATTTTCATTGGTCAGCTGATAAGATGACTTAATATATATGTGTTATTGTGATAATTTTATGCTTATGTTGTTTTGTTAATTTTATGTTTTTGTTGTTTACTCTGTATGTTTTGGTGTTGTTACTTGGAAACTGCTCTGAGTCCCCTCGGGGAGAGAGGTATATAAATTAATATTATTATTATTAATAATAATAATAATAATAATAATAATAAGGGTGTTGGGAGAAGATAAAAAGAGGCCCAAATAGTTATTATCAGGCTGCTTTCAGCATGCCTCCAATGCGGCCCTAAAATGCTGATTTATGCTGGTACTGGAAATTGTTGTTTTGTATGCCATTGAGCTGTTTCTGACTTTTGGTGACCCTAAGGTATATCTTACATTACGGTGGCGCAGTGGGTTAAAGCACTGAGCTGCTGAGCTTGTTGATCGAAAGGTCGCAGGTTCGATTCTGGGGAGCGGCGTGAGCTTCCGTTGTCAGCCCTAGCTTCTGCCAACCTAGCAGTTCGAAAACATGCAAAATGTGAGTAGATCAATAGGTACCGCTCCGGCGGGAAGGTAACGGCGCTCCATGCAGTCATGCCGGCCACATGACCTTGGAGGTGTCTATGGACAACGCTGGCTCTTCGGCTTAGAAATGGAGATGAGCACCACACCCCAGAGACATGACTGGACTTAATGTCAGGGGACTACCTTTACCTTTACCTTTAAGGTATATCTATCAAGGGGTTTTCTTAGCAACCTTTGTTCAGAGATGGCTTGCCCTTGCCTTCCTCAGAGGCTAGGAGAGCATGAGATATGCAAGGGTTTCCATGGCTGAGCAGGGATTTCTCCTAGTGTAATAATAAATACTGCTTAGAATTAACAAAGAGATTACCCCTTGAATGCCTGCGTCTTACAGAAGCCTGCTAGAGTTGTGAAAGGTTCTTGAATATTACAGTTATTGGCTAAGTTGTATGGTTGAGAGGATAATGAACTTGATATAAGGGATGGAATTCTGTACATGGAAAAACCTTTAGGAAATGTCTGTATAATGTCTTAGCAGACACTATGGGAAATTATGTATTTACGGAAGAACTTGGTGATGATGATTATGATTATGATGATTATGAGGTTAACTACCCTCCCACTAGTCACTATTATGCCCATCATGTAATTTGGTGGGTAGGTTGCCACTGCACTCTCTCTCCTGTTTGTCACATGATCCATGACCACAAACCATCATCAGGCTGTTTCTGTCCAAGAGGAGAAAAAGTTGTATATTTTTGTCTTGTTTTTGGTCATTGATGTTGTTGAACAGGGAAAAGTGAGTGCATCAATGATTTTGAAAACATTGATTTCAAACATAATTCCTGTGTATGATAAACTGATTGCTGACCACAAGTAAAAAATGTCCCATTAACTAAATGTAAACTGTAAGAAAACCTGAAAAATGTATTCAAACTTCTACCACTTAGCAAAGTATTTTTTAACATTAATATGATTTCATGATAAATAAAAAATCTTACGTAATAAGTATAATTAAGTGATATTAATTAAAATGTCTCTTTTTATAATATGGTTTATTTGCAAAAAAAATATTAATTATACTTTTACTTGGAAAGTGAGGCCCTAAGAAGTTCAACCTATTTTAATTTTGGCCCCTACCTATTGAAAAGTTGTGCAAGTCTGGTTTAGAAGGTTGTTGCTCTTAAACATGTTATTGTGAAGTTAGTTAGAGAGATGCAGAGAGATCATGGTTCAATTGTTGCAAAAGTATATCATCTTGATAGTCATATAATATGATTTAATGAGAGCCAGTGGTGTAGTGGTCTGAGTACCAAATAGTTACTATGGAGTTTGCATCCCTACTCAGCCTTGGGAACCCATTGAGTTGCCCTGGGGCAAGACATACTCTCTCAGACTCAGAAAAAGGCAAAGGTTTCCCCACTGAAAAAATCTTACCCAGAAAATCCTGCGATAGGATCTCCTTAGGGTCACCATAAATCAGACATGACTTGAAGGCACACAACAACAATAACAGTAACACCTTACATGTTACATAATTAAACTTAAGTACCTAGATCTTGTTATGTCTTTGCTTCTTCATAAAGGGAGTGAATATGCTTGTGTTATCTATGAATTCTTATAATAAATAACCTTTAAAAACTATCAAAAGAGCCTGCTCATTTTCCATGTAAATATCCTGCAATTCCAAGACTTAAAAGTGTTTAAGTGGAAAACTGATGTTAACTTGGCGTGTCTACTTTAATCACCTTTGTGATCTGGGCACTCTGTTGACCAGAAGGTGATACTGAGACCCTAAGACAGAATCTAGAATTAGCTGGCAAGAGGCAAAGACTCTCAGTCCCTCAGTCTAAGAGACAGGGGTAGGGAACCAAGCCTGTTTTGACAGTGAGTCAGCTTCATGTGCTCCATTACAAGTTTGGATCAATGGAATCTAGCTATGTCTTCAAATCCCTCTTTACATAAAGAAAGGGATTGTGGTAGTGTTTGTTGAAATACTTATCCTTGTTTGGTGTGTCATATCAAAGATACAAAGCAGGACTGGAAAAGCTGTGGCCTTCAATTTGTTATTACATTACTGCTCCCATGATTCTTCTCCACTGATTAGGATTGATGGAAGGTGCCCAACCATAGCTACAGGGCTCCAGATGCCCAGCCCTACTTCATACATTCTACGAGGAGTGAGATTGTAACATCATCCTAGATAGATGCAGAAAGGTATGGGCCAGAGGTTCCCAAACCAGACTTCTGTATAATATTAGACTTCATTTCCCAGAGACCCCAGACAGCATAGTCAATGTTGAAAGATTCATAAAGTTATAGTCTGGCAAGATCTGGGGTCCAACAGATTGAGAGTTTTGCTACACTCTTCTCAGCCACTTAACATGAATAGTTAATACAAATCCACTGTTTGTACACCTACATAGAAGGTTTGGCTAGAATGGAAGAAGTGCAGGAAGGAAATGGGAGACAAGGCAGCTTTTTCCATTAAGTGAAATGCATTTTGAGTAATTTAGCGTACTGCTTATAGAGTTCAGAAATCTGATGGGTATTAAACACCAACCACAGCGGACCAGCTGAGAATAAGGCATGTACATATGAACTCAAAGGTCTGCAAAGAAGTGGGCACATCTCCCTGCTAATCTTTCCTGACCATACTATTTACAGAAATTGCTCCATAGCTCTCTGCCTCTTCTTTTAATATACTAGGAACTCTTTGAAGGCTGCCATACATTTTCCCCATTAAGGACCTGGCACAAAAAAGAGCTTATCTAACATTTCAGGGGAGAACAAGCAAGTTTTAAAATGGCAAGCAGCTGGTAGTAAAATGCAAGTGTGAATAGGATGGTAGTCATTAGTCCCTACAAAATGTCAGTGTAAAAGGCAAGCAGCCGATATAGGCTCTTGGTCAGAAAGGCATTCTTCTCCCATTCCCATTATACCAGTGAGGATTTTTGTCCAACATGTCTCTTCCATTTTGCAGCTGTGCTAAAATGGTTATCGTTTGAAATACACATTTCTGAATAAACTCTTCTTCCATGGTTCTACAGTAAGACCCACAATCTTTCTACAGGTTAATCTCAACCACTAAGAAATATGAAAATCTGATCCCATAGATGTACATCAGCTATATATTTCCCCTTCCATTTACCTTCATTATGTGAATGAATCCTACAAGAGCCATTTGCCTCTATAATGAGCTCTCATTTCAAGATCTGCATCTTCTTTCTACATCCTAGACAATGCAGAAGCAACCTTCAGGATTTTTGGTCAATTCTTGTATCATTGCACATTCAGGCCTCTTCTTACTGGTCAAACAACCTGGTTCTCTCTTTGTTTCTGCACTTAATCACTCACAATCCCTTACCAGAGCAAGTAATGGGAGATATTTTTCAGTGGTCCCCTCTTTCTGTACTTCGTTGTTGTTATTACAGGCAATGCTGTAGTCTCCTCTTATGCATTGTTTCCTAGATTCATCTGCTTTACTCTGCAGAGCAAACTGTCAGATCAAAAACCAGATGTGATTATCTTTCTTTCTCAGATATTGTCACAGTTCGGTTTGTTTTAGGTAGCATCTCTGTTGGGACTATGCTTGCAAAGCAACAGGCAACCATAAGAATGCATCCATTTATGTTTTGAGTCACTGTAAGTATCTGTGTGTGCTGTCAGCTTTTAAAAGAGGGAGATTGTTTTATCCCATCTCTTCTGTTGATAATACTGTAGATTCTTTCATATTCTTTCAGAGTTTGTGGCTACTGATCTTCCCTCTTCCTCTAATAGCGGAAGTATTGTTTTGTGTGTTGAGAAGAAGTTTCAGGGCTTGTGGGATGGTAAACAAAGCATCATCATTCTTTTTCAAGTCTTGGAAGAGAAAGAGGAAGATTAATACATATATAGATTTTTTATAAATAGAACGGCATCATGTTGTCCAGGTGAACAGCTAGGAAATCCATTTTGTTCTTTATCCATACCATAAAGGTACATCATGGGCCGCTTTATAGATATGTTCCTGACTGTGCTCAGGTTTTCCTGTAGGATTTTGTTGGTGCTGGACTTCAGAGGACAAAGGTTTGGTCTCAGTTTTCATATGCCTATTTCATTTTGTTGGGAAAAACATATCCAACAAGTAAGTTTAGGAAACAAGGTTTTCTTTAAAGGAAGCAAAAGGCCCAGTGGGAAAATAAAAGGCATGTGTTCATAGGGAATGAGCACAGAGGCAACACACAATCACTGATGGAGAACACAGGTGTTCACAAGGATGACGTCGTGGAGTCCACCACTTCACGGCCATTACACACAGTTGGGACATATTGAGAAGATGACCCTGTGGAATATAGAAAACAAAAGGGGTTTTTTTATTATGAAAAAACTATCCCATATTCATCTCATCTGAAAAGTTTACTTTTCAATACAGGATGTCTTATTTTTTAATTACAACAAGGAGGTCGACAACAGGTCTATAGATTTTGTGGTATGTCACGTGCATACTGTCTACATTGGTAGAATGTAGAAATAAGAGTAATATAATAATAATAATAATAATAATAATAATAATAATAGCAATAAGAGCAATAATAAACAATTTTATTATTAAATATAATAAACAACTCAACAATTTTAACCAACATAACCAAATGTGATAAATGATGGGAGTTGCTGGAAGGCCACTTGATTCTCATCTTTAATTGAGAATTATGTCTAACCAAAACTAGTTGCAATATGTCTTCATAATAATAAACTGTGGTTTAATGTAATTTGCAATTAGAGCCAATGATTATGAGCAGACTTGGACATCTGCTATCACTTTTTTTGTACTTTACTGAGCATATGTGCTCAACATCCAACCAATACAATTGGATCCCTATTGATAACTTCCTGTTGTGTACAGAACAATTTCCCATTCTTTAATGCAGACATTGGGCACATCTAGTGTGATTGAAAAATCACAAGTTTTCTTCCCGTTTGTTTCCATTTTAAACTGGATTTAAATAAACCAGCATGGGAAGCTGGTATAAAAATGATCATACTAGGAGCTGACATAAAGTATTATGGAATAAACAAAATGTGTGTGGATCATCACAATAAAACTGGAAAGAATTGGAACAATTTTTGGGACTTTCTCGCCATTTTAAACAATCTGGGCATTCCCTCTGTGGAATAAACTAGCAAGTGACAGAGAATTTAGCTCAGCAATAGTTCAAAGCCAATTCTTGTTTGAGGCAGACTAGCTTAACAACTGGATTGTGTTTATGCTGCAGGTGTGGGGCAGGATTTGTTGTAAATCAGGTTAAAAACAAAGACAGTGAAAAGAACATTGCTTAGGAAGGCCCTTTTTCACTCACCATGCGAATGGCTGGAGCCCACAGCTGTCACACTAAACCGATTGGTGGAAACCCGGTGACTGGCTACATTCTTCTGGGGCTGGAAGAGGATGATATGTAGCTTCGGTGTAAAGAGGCAACCAAGGACCACTGTGCCACTGAGGCTTACTGAGATACACATTGTGGTAGTTTGGACCTGTGAAGAGAAAACAAGAAACCAGTGCAGCAATCAAGAAGGAAGAAGAGAAAGGGATTCTTATGCGTGCTCATATTGTATACCAAATGTTATGCCTGCAATTGCTAGTCAAATAGAGCATTACTCTGAACTAATTTGTTTATTTGTTTGTTTTAATGTCCTACCTTTCTCCCAGTATGGGACTGAGTGTATTAAAGGGCATAGTCAATAATATATCATCCTGAATACAAAGGGATCAATGAAGATACTAACTGAAAAAGTTGGTAGCATAAGCTTTTATATATAACTTCATTCAGTTAATCTCTAAAATGCTACAAGTTCCTTTCTCATGCTGATATTAAAAACTAACATGGATATGTCTTTGAATTCTACATCCTTCAGAAATTGCATAGCTTTTCCATATTTGTATATGTCAAACAGTACAGGTAATTAGAGTACATCAAGGATGAAAAATGTTAGCCTGCCTCCAGTATTTTGTTCTGAACAAAGATGTCCCAAAGAAGGCATTTGGGATTCCTTGAGATGAACTCCTCCATGCCATAATGCCATCAAGTATATATAAAAAAAATTCATGTCAAAAGTGACTTGAGAAACTGCAAGTCGCTTCTGGCGTTGGAGAATTGGCCGTCTGCAAGGACGTTGCCCAGGGGACACCTGGATGTGTTACCATCCTGTGGGAGGCTTCTCTTATGTCCAAGCATGGTAATCTGGACCTGACAGACGGGAGCTCACCCCGCTCTCCAGATTCGAACCACCAACCTTTCGGTCAGCAGTCCTGCCAGCACAAGGGTTTAAACTACTGCGGCACCAGAGGCTCCCCAGTTATCCAAATGAATACCTATAATTGCAAATGAATTATCTGATCCATTGTTTTGCCAGAACTGTTACTCTGAAGTTCATATGCAGTCAAAGACCATTTGAACATGAGATATCCATCACAGAAAATATAATACAGACAGATAATAATATAAAACTAGTAAGAATTCAGCAGTAATTTAAAATATTAAAACATAGTAAACATAGTATAATTAAAAGACTTTAAAAGCCGAAATATTACAGATGTATCCAGAAATCAATGGGAGGCCCTTTGCAAGTCACACTCTCTCTCAGTCTCAGTGGAAGGTAATGGCAAACTCGTTTTAAACAAAACTTGACAAGAAATCCATCTTTTCAAGAAAACTCTAAGACCATAAAGTCACCATAAGTCAGAAATGAAGGCAAATGATGACAACAACATCAAATGTTTGAATAATCATTTTATGGTTCTTAACAGAGAAACAAAACAATTTTGTACATGTTTATTGGCAATTTCCATTACTATAGGATTGCCCTAAAAGTTAGCCAATACTTGTGTGGAACTTGAATTCGGTCTGCAAGGTTCTGCACAAGTCAGTGTTGAAAGATAAAGGTATTTGGAATCAAGATACTCAATGCATATTTTGGAATTGGATAGTCAAAAGAAGTTTATAAAGTAGATTGAGTTTTTATAATAAGGAGAACAGATCAAGGCATTGATTGGCCCTGCCTTGAGTTACTGATAAAACAAACACAGTTCCCTTTTTGACAATCACTATACATTTTGGCACTCAATTGGTGCAGTTGCTATATTGACAAAAAGTCAACTCCCACAACATGTAAAGAGAATGCAAAAATGAAGTGAAAATTATTGCAAAAAAAAAAAAAAAGACCCAAGAGACTCAGCTGAATTCATGAATATGTAGATATACAATTGTTTTTTTAAAAAAAGGAATCCTTCAACTAGCTAAGAAATTAATATATCATCTTGGCAGCTTTGCCGAGAATGTGTGGGTGGAAATGAAAAATGAAGTTCAAGCAACAAGAAGCTAACAGCGTGTTATCGAGAAACTTGGAAATTTGTGACGGTATCATATACTTGGCAACCACAAAAAAACACAAGGCTGTGCTCTATTTTTAACCCACACTCAGCTATTTCCTCTCACCTTTTTTTAAAAAAACAACAACAACCTTGTTACATCATCATTTTTAGATACAACTCTACAGTTTGGCTAGAGGAGATAGGGAGAATGTTTGTGTCTATGGCAGCAGTCTCTACTTCCGCCTCAGGTCCATACCTCAGATTGCTTTTGTCCAATGGTGCATGGACAAGGGGAGCTAAAAACAGAAGGGTTCTGGAGATAATATACTAATCCATCAGACCTGATTAAAAGTCTCCATATATGCATTGTAACAAAATCAATGTAAGTTGTTAACATATGATGAAACATAACAGGAACCCACAATAAGACGCTGTTTAGATCCTTTAATAACTTCTAAGTCATTGCTACTCAAAATGGTGGTCTGTATGCCATTAGTTGGTGGTCTGAACTCAGTGTTCAGGAAAGAAGGAAACAGTTTAGAGCCTGTGATACTACTATGGTACCAACATAAGGGTATTTTTACTCTTTTACTGTTTTAATGATGTTTTTATAATGTTTTATACTGTTTTTATCTAAGATGCATATTTATGCTTTCGTTGTCAGCCGCCCTGAGTCCTGGTGTGGAGGTTGCGATAGGACAAGATATAAATGTCCAAAATAAATAAATAAATTGGGAGGAAGGGGGTTGCTGGTCAACCACATCAGATAATTTTAAAGGTTCTAAGTCATTTCTGCAGCCAAGCAAGCCATGGCGTCATCTATTCATTGGCAGGGAATAGGATTCCACCCAGCTATCCAACAGGGCAAGAGTAGCCAATGAAGGCAGATATCTCAGGCAATAAGATAGCTGGGGCATTGGATTGGATTAATTTATTGCTAGGGATGGAGATAACTGCTTATAGGATTTTCTGTCTCATGTGCCAAGAAAACTTGCCTCTTCACTGGGCAAGGGGAGGGGTGGCAATTTCCTGCTTTGCCTAAGTAAACAATATTGGGTGTGCACAGCTCACTTGTGGGAAACACTACCTCTTTGACACATTCACATCTGACTTTTAACATACAATTATTCAACTACCCCAAACCCAAGCAAGAGGACTATAGCGGAAGCTGACTATAGAATCTCACTGAAGGATCTAGAGCAGTGGTTCTCAACCTCTGGGTCTTCAACTCCCAGAAATCCAAACAGCTGGTAAACTGGTTGGGATTTCTGGGAGCTGTAGGCCAAACCATCAGGGGACCCACAGGTTGAGAACTACTACGCTAGAGATTCCTAGAGTGGTGTTTTTTCAGGTTTAAAAAATAGCATTTCTGCATTTGCTATTTTCCACTTCCATCGAAATCCTGCAGCCCTCCTCTTGCAAAAGTGGCAGAACTACTTTATTTCAATTTTGTTCTTTCTAATTTAAATGTGGCTCTCATCTGCCACATTGCTTTCTCTGCTGTGATTGTGGTTGTCAGACCCCTTGAAACTTCTTCCTTCTTTTGAGGGGTAGTAAACCACTAGGAAGTAGTACACTACTGAATGCTTTCCTTTCTACAAACATCTGCGGAACAGCAAAAAACCTGAATTTTCCAAGTCTTTATCTGCATTCTTGAAGGATATTTTTTTTTGCCCACTTCAACTAAGCACATAATCCATGTTGTGTGTGAAATGCCACTACAAAAGAGCATTATAGTTCCTGGCTAGTCAAGGATTTGTGTAGAGATGGACACAGCACTTCACCACTTGGTTCTCCTCTTGACAGACACTTCACTATACTCTCCAAAATCACATGAGCACATGATTTCCAGCCACACACAGGTTCCCTGTCTTGTTTCCAGATTATTCCTTCCAGTAACAGCTGTTCTCCAATATCAATCGTACAGCTGGGTTTGCATTTTTGAGACACTCATAACCATACGTGTGTCCCAAACTAATAGCAAGTCAAAAACATCTTGGGCATAAACATGCAAAAACTACAACTTGAATTCTGGTATTTTGTTTCTATGGTTTATGAAATACAGCTCTCTCTCCCTTTCAAAATAAATCATCTAATTATAATCTTGTCCAGGTTGGCATCTTCAGTTCCACTGAGGAAGCAGCAGAAATCTCATCTAGTTAGTAAGGAAGAATATATTTGTTTGTTTGTTTTTTTTAAAAAAAAATGAAAATAATGCTGTATGCATGCAATAAATGTTGATTATAAATGTTTGAAAAATATATTACATGCAATAAAGCACATAAGAAAAATTCTACATCATGCTGACAAAGTATTGTCACCTCCATACTCTCAAGAGATGGTGGGAGATGCTGTTGCCCAACTGCTTCCCATGATGAGCAACATCAGTTGTCAGTTGCAGCTTCACCTCTCTGGCTGATGATTGACTGCAGAGATGCCTCTCAGTCTGTCTGTTTTGGAGCATGACAAGGAGAAGGAGCACCTTCCATGCACAATGCAAGATACCTCTTCATCCAGTGCTCAACAGCAAGAGAGTGAGCCTAGGAACACCCCCAAGGCCAATCAATAACTGTTCAGGAGGTCCTTGACATCAATGCTCCAATAGGATGGGGCAGTGGGGGCTAGATTCAGCAAGATCTGAAAGGGTACAAATGCAGGCATGATCCCCAGTTATACCCACTTGTGTTACCCATGGGATGCTGATCACAATCATGTCTCCACTTTCCCAGTGTCATGACTCCACAGCATGGACTCCCAATTTCAGCATCTGTCAACCCAGTAAGGATAATGCATACAGCAGAGGGGAGAGGGATACACTACCCCCTCCACAATGATAGTTATGTCAATTGCAAAGTGTGATATTTTCCCATTGACCTTTTCTCCGTATACTGACGTATACTCCAAAGATGTAATTTAAACGCTTGTGAACTGAGCAAAAATGATGCAAGGCAAAATGTCTGTGATTTAGGACAAAATGTAGAATAATACACAGATTTTAATTACGGTACTCCCTGTATCCAGAAATATTGTATATGCACTACACAGGAACAATTAGTGACAGCTACATCAATGCAGAAGAAAAGCAAATATCACCTGCTATAACTTAAAACAAACAAATCGGTACATAGATGTTGGTGTTAAGGATAATGTTAGTTTTGGAACT